TTGGCGGAGTTCGCGTATGCGTGCCTGAAGATGCGACTCTTGCTGATACATATCGGCTTCTTGACCTTCGTTGTAGCCAAGCTTCGCAAGGTCCGCTTCTAGCTTCTGAGCTTGGGATTTCAACGCCTCGAGGTCTTTGAGGAGCCCGGAATTCTGTTCTTTGGCTTTTTTCGCCTTCGGCTCGTCTTCCTTGATCTGCTTCTCAAGATGTGATATCCGAAGTTTGCTCTGCTCTTGCTCGGTCGCGGCTGCGCTTGCGCGATTCCGGGCGTCTTGCAGTTGGCCTTGGTAACCGCCTTCCTGGCCTTCTTTAGAAGCCACACCTGTCTGGAGGGTTTGAAGAAGCTCTTCCTTCTTCTCCACCTCCTCATTCTGCTTCGCCAGCTCGGCGTGGGCTGTCTGGTACTTCTCTTGCAACTTCTCGTACGTCTGCTTCTTCTCCTGTAGTAGCTTCTCCAATTCTTTGACACTCTTCTCGACACCCTCCTTCCGTTCCACCTCTTCGGCCATGCTAGTCGTTTTCAGGTCTAGCACTGTCGTCAGGCGAACAATCTCGTGCGAATGCGTCTTGACTTCCTCTTCCAGAGCCTGGAACTTGCCGCCCTTGCGCAGCTCCTTCTCTCGTGTTGCCTTTGTCTGTTTGATGTCCTCTTGGAGGTTCTCAATCTCCTTCTTCATGCGCACAGCAGACGCGTCGAGGTCTTTCGCCCTTTGCTTCTTGGCTTCGAGGTCTTCGGCTGACTGTTGTAATCGCTCGTTGTATCGTATGTAGTCGTATGCGACGACTAGCTTCGTAAGGCGCTCAAGCTCGCTCTGTGTCTGTTGGAAGTCCAGAAAGGCACGCTTTTCCATCCGCAGTTTCTCGAGCTTCGGGTCGATTTCGTCTCGCAGTAGCTCCGTAATCTCCTGCACCTTCATTTCCTTCTTAGCCATAGTCTTGTATGCCTTGTCCCGCCTGTCCTCAAACATGCGTGTTCCAGCAGCCTCTTCCAGCATAGCCAAAATCTCCTTGGCCTTCATGTTCAGCACCTGCATGACCTTTCCTTGTGCGATCATGAAATTCGGGTTGTTGATGTTCAGCTGCACAGACTGGAATAGGTTCTGTATGCTTTGTTGTTGCGCGCGGTGTCCGTTGATGAGGTACTTGCTCGCTCCTCCGAGCACGATCTGCCTTGTCACCGAAATCTGTGCATGTTCCTCAAAGCCGACCGGGCTCTTCGATTTGTCGCGGTTATCGAACACGATGGTAACGCTCGCTTTGGTGACACCCGCTTGGCCGCGCTTGTAGATGAGATCCTACAGTACTGTCAGCTCTCCTGCATCGCGTACTCTTTCCCGGTACACTCACTTGCAAGTTCTGCGCTCGCACCACGCTCAAGTTGTTGATTCCGAGTACGAAACATATTGAATCGAGAATGTTTGACTTTCCAGAGCCGTTCAGTCCCGTGATTGAGTTGAAGCTCTCGTCCCTGGTCGGCTGTCAGTCGTGTCGTTGCGTGCGGGGAGCGTAAACAAGCCCTACCAGCCAGAAATGACAGTTCGCACAGCGTATGACTTGTAGCCCTATGCGCGTGTTAGATAGCGACGAATAAACAGCTAGCCATACCTACATCGATTACGAGTTCTATAATCCTCATGGTGGCTGCATGTGCTGTCGTGCTGAAATGCGTCGCTGCTAATGTTTGTTGTTCCGTCTCACATGGACAAGGGTCTCGGTACCGCCCACCAAATCGCGCTAGGCCTTCACGTGGCAGCGCGCCCACGCGTGCCCCGCCACCTTCTTCCCCCAGGCAGGTCAACGCAAGGGAACCATCATACGCAAGAATCTCAATTGGCCGTAGACGTCATCGATTACTACTATGTGCTAAAGGAGTGTGAATATCTTCACCAGGTATCTCAAACGCTATCATCGCTCATCAACGCAGACTCAAAGTACAATCACCGAGCTTGCCCCAGGCAATGCTCTGGCTCGGCCTCTACGGGCTCACTAGCTTCTGTGCATGCGGTTTTTGAGCAGCTCTTCTTCCTCCCTAATCCCCTCGCAACAAACTCCTTGGATTCGAAGCTTCCCATTGCCTTCAATCCATATTCGCACTCGTCCTTCACGGGTGGAAGCGGGGCGGTCCTAGGGGCGCCTCCCAGTTCCTGGATAGTGATCTCGTCATCTGGGTTGTTGGATAGCCCGAAGTTGAAGTTCCCGAAAACCTTAGTGCTCGGTCGCATTGTACCTGCAGTACGATCTTCGTAGTAAGAGGTGTTCCTGCCGGTGCCGTACTGTGGGAATAGAGTTCGGAAGAGGCACTTGGTCGCGGGTGCACATGCCGTCATGATGTGTACAGCTGGTTCGGCGATGCTGATTCCGATGCCAATATCCCATGTGCGATCCTTGTTGGTGGGAGCAAACCGGTAGTAGTATACGATGAATCTGCCGATCGAGACGCCTGTCGCGATCCATCCCAGGCTCATGACAATGACGACTAGGAGCTTTGTACGTCGGTGCATTTGGAGACCCCATACCATGATAGAGGGGATTGGGATGATGATGAGGTCCATGAAGATGGACAAACCACACGATACGAGTACAAAGGTACGCGCATCGATACAAGTACCGCCTGGTACAACATTTCCATCAGCATCGATGCTATCCATGGCAGGTCTGGACCAAGCGTAGGCACGAGGCGTGCACTGCACGACATTGACTATAGTCGACCCGACGGAGTATATGATGTTGAGCCAGAAAGTAAGGTGTAACGGGTATCGTACGCGACGCCGACTATCCTTCATGCGGAAGAGGAACATGATGATGGAAGCTCGAATCAATCCCATGACTAAAAGCAGACGCCACATGTCAGCGAAATTCCGGAACGTCCTGCAGATCCGATATACGTACGTGGATGATACATCATCTGTACTGCAAAGTTCCATCGTATCGCAACGAGCTGTTCCGCCACGGACTTCTTGGGCAGATCATAGACATGGTAGCCGGTGCCGCTCAGTACAATGTACATCCATGTTGCCAGAGTATCTAGTATGAGGAGGACAAAGGCTATCAAGATAAGGTGGTCGTCCCAGCAAAAGTTGCGTCCGAGGTACCGCGACCATACCCTGAGGAAGACTGTGAGAGAGGCGACGACTGTGAAAGTACCGATGATGGCCAGGACCTCGGGTTGTCGGCTTTCCACCATAGTCCTGCTGATGTTTGTCGCCAGCGTCGTGCGACTGTGGAGCGCTCAGTCCGTTGGTGCGCAGTAGCCGTTGAAGCCCACAGCGTGGAGTTCAATGTTGGCTTGTCCAGTGGATCGTGAACCGGATGAACCAGAGGGCTTATGAAGATCGTGGGTCCACGACGGATGATCGCACCGAGAAGCGAACGTGGAGTAACGACGCAAACAGTGAGGATCTGAAGTGTGACGGATATTGTAGGTGTTATTGGCCCACCCAAGGAAAAGTCGAATGTACCCGCACTGGACGCCTTCGAGTTTTCCTCGCTATGTGACTAGTATATGTCGCGCGTCCACGCGGGAAGTCGCACGTACACTCCCTTGGTGTCAGGATGGGATGTTTGGTGGCCAAGACGGATGCTGTCACTGCACGGCGAGGTGGAAGGTTGCCTCGGACCAGCCGCTGCTCTAGACTCTTGTCGTCTCAAGGATAAAAACCTGCCAGGAACCAGAGGCGTCGTCCAAAGCGAGGCGGTCCATTATGCACACCACAGCCGCGGCAACAGTAGTCGACTCCCGCTCGTGTCTTCCCCTCTCGCTTGACCAGAAAGAGGACTAGAGCGTCTCACGAAGTCCAAATCGGTTTCTCACGGTCCGAATTTGGGCTGACATGTCAAGGGCAGCCCTGGACACGGTCGCAATCTTCCGGCTGGAGGCCTGTCCGCCCTACCGTTGGCTGGTCGATGGTCTGGACGCAACCATGGACAATTGAGCCACTGCCACTAGGGATTTCGATTGCGATTGCAAAGTGAGTGAATCAATGTTTTGAGCCACTTGCGATTAGGGGAAGTAAGTATGCCGATCTTCAGGATTTTGGCGTTGTTGGCGTTGAAGGCTTGGAGGTCGGCGGCCATGTGGCTAACGGAGGCGATCCCCCGGGACTAGTTTATTGTCCGACCCGTCTGACGCGGCTCCTGCCAGACGCGTAGTCATCCTCAGTGCACTCAATTGCAATTCATGGCCGAGAAATAACTGACACCATTCCAAGCCGTTATCATGAACGCGTGTTTTAGAACTACCTGTGAGCTCCACTGCTGCAGGTCCGTTGTCAGGCAATCGCGGCAGCTTCGCGCTTGCGTGCGTACATGACTCTCAGACTTTGCACTACCGGCAGCTACGCCGGCACCAACAGGCAGACCCTGGGCGGCAAGCCTCACGACTCGAGTAACGATGTGCCTGAGACTAGTCCCAACGACATATTCAAGCGCACGTGGGCACAGTCGATATTCCAGGGAGTGCCTCACGAGTGCAGAATTCGCATTATCATTGCTGATCGCTTCTTGCGATAGGTCCAATATATAGAATATGCATGTGAGATACGCCGTACCACGCAACGTCTGCATACATGGACACTCAGGAATTGCCTGGATAGGTTGCGATGCCGTGATTACTTGAATACCATGTCGTCGCCCCCGGTTAACTCAGCTGTCAACAATCTTTCCAGCCAAGATCAGCGGTCACACTCTGGGCAAAGAACATTAGCCTACATCCTGCCAAGCTCAGGTTATTGGACGACGCCTCCTATATCGAGTCAGTCCGTAAGATGACCATTATGACTATCGCCTTGTTTCTCGTCTCAGTGCGCAACGGTCCGTCATCCGCAGACCAGCCGCAAGCCCCAGGGGAAAGGTACAGTGAGTAACGGCCGTCAATGGCAAAAAGAAACTTTCTGACAGACATATAGATCTGCAGCCGTTCGACGGGAGACGATCAATTGCCAAAGACTGGTACCCTCGGTGAAACACTGAGTCGTCGTTTTACACCGACGAACTATTCAAAATGGCTTCCATCGCTATGTGGCTCGCAGTTTTGGCTGCAACGTCAACCACGGCATCACCCGTCCTTTCGGCTAAGGCTGGAACCAACACCCTCAACGTAGATGTAGACCTCCAAGGCGTTACTTCAGCAGTCAGGTCCCTCTTCCTCCCCGGCTCGCTCGACGCTACAACACCAACGAACTCTTCGAGATGCAAAGTCTACCCCGATGACCCCCAATGGCCTTCCGATGAGGCTTGGTCCCAGCTCAGTAAACTCACTGGCGACCGCGTCATCAGTGCACCCACTCCATTGGCAGCAGTATGCTACCCTGGTGAAGACTACAACGCCGCAAAATGTTCCGAGTACACTGTGGCAGCATGGCAGAAGTCATATATCCATATGATCGACCCTATTGAGATGATGTCCCCAGTCGCTCAAGGCCTGACCTGTGCCCCACCGGTTCTTTACGACTCGCATGGCTGCACTCGCGGAGGCTTCCCCATGTACGTTGTCAACGCGACTGAACCCAAGCACGTCCAGCTCGCCGTCAACTTCGCTCGTAACTCGGGTGTCAGACTTGTCGTTAAGAACACTGGCCACGACTTCCTCGGCAAGAGTGGTGGCAAGGATGCTCTTAGCATCTGGACGCACAACATGAAGGACATCAAGTATATCGAAGAGTACGTCGATGAGAAGCTCAACTACACTGGCCCTGCATTCAAGAGCGGTGTTGGTGTCCAGGCTTTCGAGATTTACAAGGCTGCCGCTGAGAAGGGCAGAATCGTCGTTGGTGGTGAAGGCGAGACGGTCGGAGTCATGGGAGGATACATCCAAGGAGGTGGTCACTCTCCTTTGACCGGACTGTACGGCACTGGCGCTGACAGTGTGCTTTCCATGGAGGTCGTTAGGGCTGATGGCGAGTTCGTCGTCGCAAACTCTACCTCCAACACGGATCTTTTCTGGGCCCTGCGCGGTGGCGGTGGCAGTACCTTTGGCGTCGTCACCTCCGTGACCGTCAAGGCCCACCCCGACCTTGAGGTCACAGCCTCCCGGTTTGGTTTCAACTCCAAGGACACAGGCAACGAGACGTTCTGGGCCGCCATCCGCTCATACGTCGACCTGTGGATCGACAACGCCGATGCCGGTACATACACATACTGGACTCTTATCCCCTCCAACGGCACCTTTGCGTTCGCATTCTCGCCCTTCTTCGCGCCGGGCAAGAATGTAGAGCAAGCCACCGCACTCCTTCAGCCCTGGTTCAACAAGCTCGATGACTTGGGTGTCAAGTATGACCCCAACATCACTCACTTCGACAACTACTACGACGCGTGGCGCTCGTCCTTCCCTCTCGAAGCCGTTCAGAAGCCCAACGTAGCAACTGCATCGCGCCTGTTCCCCCGCGCCAACTTCGAGACAGCGGAGAAGCGTCAAGAAGTATACGAGAACATCCGCCGATCGAGCGAGAAGAACCGCGTACAAGTCCACTTCAACATGCAAGCTAAAGACCCATACAACACTGACAACGCTGTCAACACTCACTGGCGCCCGCTCGTCTCCTTCAGCATGCAATCCGTACGCTGGCCAATCAACAGCACCGCCGAGGAGATCCTGAGGATCCGCAAGGAGTTCCAGGCAGGCGATATGCAGGCCTGGAGAGACATTAGCCCTGGTGCTGGATCCTACCTTGCTGAGGCTGATCGTCTCGAGCCTGACTTTGGCAATGCTTTCTTCGGTGATAACTACCCTAAGTTGTTGGAGTTGAAGAAGAAGCTTGACCCTCAGGATGTGTTCTTTGCGACTACCGGTGTGGGTAGCGAGAGGTGGAGGGTAGAGAGCGTGGACGGCCTACCGAATGAGAACGGCAAGCTTTGCCGTGTTTAGAAGCGAGACTTTCTTTTCTCTGTACAGACTTTATTATATCCAGATTGGCCGCTCTTGTTCTTGCCGTTGATGGAGGGTCGCTGACACACGAATGAATATCAAGTCTCTGTCGAACATTATCCCTCTTATCTATTGACGACTGAACTTCCTTTGCGAATGTTGATGAAGTTTCGGGTTCCGCGGGCATGCAAGCAGACTTTCTAGCGTTCAACATCTGTGACTAGATTGCGAGCTTCGTGAAGGATAAAAGTGCAGCAGGATATGAGTATTTTGATCGTCGAAGCTGCCAGAAATCGGCTGCTCGGTGTAGCCTGAGGCGTCTGAGGTAGAGCGTGCTTGCCCATTTCCTTATCAGCCTCGTCTATCACTGCTGCGTCCCAATCTTCTTTTACGATCCGGGCGACTCCATGATGGGACAATCTGCGAATAATCAATGGTGCGGTGTATACCAGTTCCCAGCTGTTGTCAGGATGTCATGACGGTTTGTCCGACCTCGGGAGGCAGCAGCATATGCGAAGCAGTTTCCGCAATGCATCGGCACGCGGCAAGAGCAGTCAAGTCGTCGTATGTGTGTCCATGTGTAGTTAGAGAGGCGAAGCGACATCTCGATGGAAAGAGGACGTTTCTAAAGCTCTCTTGGCACCATGGACGACTTCGACTCGGTCAGAGTTCGGCAACCTCGGCAGCCGCTCCTGCTAACGCCGCCTACCTCCATGCCGAAATGCATAGGTAATCATTCATCTCGACCTCAGTCCACGGGAAGTAACATAGTTGCAAAGAAACCCCCGCTTTCCAGGTTGAACCGTTAACATTGCGTGCGAGATGGCTATGCAGCAGGTCAACGTAACCCCGAATACCGCCGAACAATTGGTGCAACGCCTGGTTCACGGAGGATTGTCCGCCAGGTTCCCAAGGTCGCCTTTGCCTTACTACATGCGCTATCATGTACTGATCATCCTTTTCTATCTGCCAATCCTCATGCCGACGAATGCCAAAACGTGTAATCAAGAGGCATTAGTGGCTAGAATCAGACAGCGTATCTCATGAAGATGTTGCGTGGTAGACTACTTAGTCTAGGATAGCCGGGCTTATTAGGTAAACATCGGTCCGGCTACCAGAAATCTCAACGTTCACTAATCACCCACCGGGCAATGCTTAGATCCCGAGGTCGACTGATCAGTCTAGGTGTTTCACCAGATTGCGCCCGTAACTCTCAGCACCGGACGAACAAACTGTCCTTCTGGACGGATTGCATCATTCGTATGGAACTTTTCCTCACCAGCACGAGCACGCCAGAAAGAACCAAAAGATTGTTAAGCATGTTCGGCCTCGGGGTTAATCACCTCTTCTATTCCAGGTTGGAGCCTACATAAGGAAGAGGTGTATCGTGTGGATCATAACTTTACAGCTCTCGACCAATTGCTACACATTCGACATCATCACAGCAGCCACCGCAAACCAAACCATGTCTTCACCCATTACCTATCTGATCACCGGAGCCAACCGCGGCATCGGCAAAGGCTTCACCCAAAGCCTGCTTCAACGCCCAAACACAACTGTGGTCGCCGCAGTCCGAGACGTGGCCAAGTCCACTCCAACACTGGAGTCTTTGCCCAAGGCCTCAGGTTCCAAACTCGTCATCGTCAAACTCGACTCATCCGCCGAAGCAGACCCCAAGAATGCCGTCGCTCAGCTCAAATCCGAGCATGGCATCACTTCTCTCGACATCGTGATTGCCAACGCCGGAATCGCGCACTCGGGAACCACTATCGTCAACACATCCGCCGATGCACTCCGCGACCACTTCGCTGTCAACACCATCGGCCCCATCCTCCTCTTCCAGGCCGTCAAGCCGCTTCTCCAAGCCAGCAAGTCCGGTAATCCCATCTTCCTCGCGATCTCCACGGTCATCGGCAGCATGGGTGCCCAGGCAGGTCTTGCTGGCTTTCCAGAACAGTTCAGCCCGTATGGCTCTAGCAAGGCTGCACTGAACTGGGCTGTGAACAGGATGCATTTCGAGGAGCCGTGGCTCACATCGTACGTGACGCATCCTGGTTTGGTGGTCACAGATATGGGGAACACTATGGGTACGCCTGAGGCACTTAAGGCCGCGGGTGCTATTGAGGTTGAGCAGAGTGTGGGCGGGGTTTTGAGCACGCTGGATAAGGCGGAGAGGTCGATTTCGGGAACGTTCCAGAATTGGGATGGAACTACACTGCCGTGGTAATCGCTGGGGTAGCAAGTGGAGCGACGATCAAGTGAAGTTTTGGGTATCCTTTGTATCGCGCGTCGTTTGATAGATAGCACGACTTGCCAGGTGCAGAGTTGCAAACCCAACAGACATGTCAGGCAGATCTATACATCATTTCATCATAAGCCGAACGTCGGTTCTCCTGAAACTAATATCCATATAGGGCTATCGCAAGTGCGAGACGACGTCGATGATGTGGCTTCGGTGGAAAACGTCATGCTTTCGGCAGTGTACAAAAGTAGCAAGAAAAGCAGCAAACATGAGTGTAGATTCACTGCATCCTCAGTACTACTGATCAAATACGCTCGAGCAAGAAGGACATGATTGTTGACTGCTATCGTTTCGACAGCGCCAACCAAACGAGAAAGTGGATTAGAATAGTATGCGTAAACAAACCACTTCATGGGCATTTTTGTGTATCGTTTTGTTGGAAAGGAGGGCCGACACGTAGCAGCACATGCTTTACTTTTGGAAAGTTCGCAAAGTGCACACAGCTTTTGAAGATGCTCAATGTTCAGGAAGGACAGGCTGCTTTATATACAACCCCAGAAGCATAGACGTCTCAGTCATACGTCGCTCCAGCCAGGTTTTGGATAGCATATGTCAAAGGCTCCTGCTTTTCCATGTTAGCGTCCAGTATGCCTTTTGTTTTCAAAAACAACACAGTATCTAAGGTATACCCAGCGCTCGCAGTGGTCTGAGATTTCCACAAGTCCAAGCAGACGCACACATGGGTATGTAGAGGTGTGATTTTGGAAAAAGAGGAGAGACCCATTTTGAGCAGCAGCGTTGTTTTTGGTAATGTGGAATAGGAGTTGTCGATGAGCGAGGCATAGACAGGACAAGTAGTATTTTATGTATTGTGCGGTTGGTGGACTGGTTTTGGACGCACAGAACATCTTGGAATCGAAATAGAAATTTTGGAGGGAAGAGGAGGAACACTCATCGCACAATCCTTAAGTGTTTTTTGGAAAACTCAGAAGATGCCGCAGGAGGACATGATCTTGGCTACGGCGTGTTTTGATAAACTCTCAGGGAAGTGTGGGATATAGAAGAGTAACTCGGAGTCCAGCGGAGCATTTATATACACTCTGAAGCCAAGGTACGCTAAGCCCAAATGGTGCGCATCAAGCCCGGCGGAAGCACACACCGACATTCTTGAGCTTTGGTGGTACTTCGAAAAGATAATCTGCTTCATGGTAAAGACTGAGGAAGCAGAAGACAGAGCCAGCACATTGCAGACGTAAGTAGTTTTTTGGGAAAAGCGCGAGCGAGGAGCAGAACACATGAACTCTACCAGTCTCTCTTTTGGGTTGAGAAGGATCGCTCCTACTCGCACCATGTTGGCTTCATCTGGTGCTTTTCGATGGTTGCATGCGCAAAAAGTGTATGAAGAACAGGATAGGCATGATAGTACATTATGTTCTTTTGTACGCTGTCGCTGAGTCATGGCAACTTCTTGATTGATTTTCGTTATTCAAAATAGTTCGTAAGAACAAGGTCCGTAACTCGCAGACATCGTAGAACCGAGACTCTTTTTTGGACGTTGAGGCCTGAAACTCCGAACAGATCATCGCGGGAAACTATCCCGATGTTTGTCGAGTCGTTTTGCGAAGACACCATCGCACACTCCGCGCACATGGTCTCTTTGCTCAAGCGTTTTTGGAGAAAGTCGCAGGACATAATATGTCTGAATAGAACTTTTGGACACTTCGGAGCGAAAGTGAGTGATAAGGAAGGAAGTCGTGTAGGTGCCGAAGCGACTTTATATAGACCACTCTAGCACAATTGTTGGGACGCATACCTTGGTCTGTTCAGCAGAGAGATTGCGATGATCATCATCACCATCACCATCGCCAGCACATCGCAAAAATTGCATAGTCAACTCGCCAATGACACAGAAAAACGGTAGTTGTGCTCCGACTGGAGTATGCGCCATGCAATGCTATCCTACCAAAACGCCATGGTCTAAACGCCTCGTGTGAACACAGCATCACAGCTCCTCCACCTCTCGCTCAACACTACCCGTCCTCTCACGAGCCTTTGACTTCCCTTTCTCCATGCGAAAGCCCACTTCCGTCCTCGCATCATCCGTGAGCCTTCCCCACTCAAGCAACAGCCTGAACATGTAAACCTCCATGTCCTCCTTCCTCAAGACCTTCTCCGTCCACACCTTGCCATCTCGTGCAATCTTCTCTGCAGCCTTGATATGACCTTCCATCATGCGCTTATTCCTCGCCTCGACGCCATACCCACCGAAGTAAGCGAGCGAAGAGAAGAGATCGTGTAAGCGAAGATCCACAGGAACGAAATGTTTCCAGGCAGTGAGGCGGCCTTCGTACCATTCGCGAAAGAGGGCAGCCTTGAAGACCACGGAGTTGGACTGTAAGAAAGGAAGGAAACGACCAGAGAAGCCGGCGCCATCCGCATCGAAGAGGTAGCGGTAGCGCCAGTGCTGTTTGAAGTCGATAGGATCACCGAAACCGAACTCGCGTGTCTGGTCCATGCAATCTTGGCCTGCACAGCGCGCTATTGGACCCACTAGGCGGACATCAGTCTTTGTCTCGAGAAGCCTCTTAATGTCATTCGTGCGTTTCAGCATGTACTCCAGGTGGCCACTATGATCGGGTTTGGGGAGAAGGATCGGTTGACGGGATGTTTCGTTGTTCAGGAGATGTACGATTCGTTGACGGAGCATGCCCTTCCAAGTGCCATGGGTAGTAACACCTTCCGTGGTCGTCCCGCGCCAGAAGAGGACATCCGCTTTGTCTTGGAAGTGAGGATCAGGGAACTTTTCATCGAATCCATACTTGCTTTTGCCCAAGTAATTCCACGGTGATGGATATCTGATATCGACGAAACCGGGAGCACGACTCTGGCTGAAGATTGGAACCATGTCATGAGTACCCATGAGACTAGCAGGACTGAGATGCATGCCATGTAGATTGGCGATATCTGGCTGGTGACACGGCTCTGATGATAAGCTCCAATTAGCCACGAATGCGCCCATGGAATGGCCTTGGGTACAAGTGTGACAGAAGGATCTCGTCTGCCAATGCCGCTCTTTTCGTGCGCGCGAGTCAGGTGGGCACGCGACAGAACCGAAAGTCTCATATGAATGCTTGATGCGAGCGTCGACGAAAAAATGCGGGTCTGTTCGTACGCGGTCCACATCCAGCCATTTCTCTGCGCGGTCGGCGCTGAAGTCTTTCCCCGGGCGAGACGCATCAGGGGTGGGGTACTGCTGAGGCTTGTCGAGCGCATCTCGCAACCGCTCGTACGGTGCAGCCACGCGACTCTCATCGTTTAGGTTCAGAGCAAGATCCATATCCGGAAGCGACTCGGAGAACTGCTGAATCATGGCCGCCGCGCCATCCATCATCCAACGATGTGTACCGGGTACGTTGTTGAAGACCTCCACCTTCCCGTTTCTTATGCGTAGCCCACCAACCCCCTCATGCGTAGCCAAGACAGTGGCAGTACGTAAGCGAAGATCATCGGCGTTGAAGGACGAGAAGGGTGCCAGGTCTTGTTCGATGTTGTCATAGTCATCGATCACGATGGAGTTTCGGCTAATGGCGAAGTGGTACCACTTGTCGAAATTCGGCGGAGGGTCGCGGTTGTAACGTTTCCGATATTGCACAACGGCCTCAGAGAGGGATTTGCTCCGGTAGGCTTGTGATGCCCATCGGTCGTGCTGAATTGTCGCGATATCGATCAAGGTAGTGATGGGATGTTCGAGAACGGGACCGTGCCGACGATATACGACGACACCGATGGAGAAGGCGATGAGAAGTACGATAAAACCAGCCGACTGGTTCCTGCCCAGGCGGATGGGTACTTTCGATCGCATGCGGGTTTCGATGCTGGTGTCTGTGACGAGGTAGAGGATGAGCGCAATGGTGAGCAGAGTCAAACACAAAACAAGTCCGACGGTGGATTTTGGTGGGAACGAATAGGACACGCCGGTGCCCAGAGCACGGAGAACGCCAATGTATGCAGAGGAAAATGCACCAAGGAGCAAAGCGCTCATAACGCCATACAATCGAGCCTAGGAGGTCAGCGACAGAGTACTAGACGGGATGTAGTAACGTACCGATTTGAGGAAACATAACGTCATAAAGGGTATCATCAACGATAAACGCAAAAGACCAAGGAGATATTCAGACGGAAACGAGAGCATCCACTCGCGATGCTCGGGCATTGCGGGGTATATGATAATGCCGGCGACAAGAAGGACCAAAGAAGATGCCTGCTCAGGGTCAGATGTGTAATGGTGCATGAAGGCGATTGACGTACAGTAAGTGTCAAGCCGACTAAGAGGTGATTTGAGGTGCCATCTGGAAGGTGGATGGTCCAGTCGTCCGCCTCGGAGATGCCATCGTCGATCAGGCGGTATGCTATCTGGACGATGACGCAGTCCAGCAAGAAGCCGAGGAACTGAAGGAAAGGAATGGCGGTTGCAGTCGAGTCTGCGGTGGGACAGATGTAGTTGGAACGCAACGAGCTGGACTTGATGATGACAAGGAAGCTGCTCACTGACAGCAGGAACGAGGGAATGATGTATCGCGTGGAGCCGTCGAAGATGAAGCTGTAGACGCGGTCGAGCTGGGTACGCGGGCGCGTGTCAGCACTCCAGGCGGGGTATTGTCGCTGACTGGGATGCCGAATGCTGTGGTAGAGGGCAGCGACGAGGGGAAGGAATGACTATATCGGTCAGTACTGTTGGCGCAATGGGAGGGGTTTGCGCACCAATGCAGAGGGGCCGCTGCACTCAACGTCCTTGGTGACGCGGTAGAAGATGGCTATGCGCCCGCATATCGCGAACAGCAGGACGGCCAACAGCGCGCCGACAGCCCGGACGCTCCATCCTCTCCGTCGGCCTGGCTGGCCTGCCTCTGTCCATATCTCTTCGGCTGCCGGTCTGCTCTGCACCTGGTTCAGGGCTATGGCAATATATCTTGTATGCGGTTGCGGCTGTGCACTGCGCGACGACCAGGCTTCAATTGCGACCACGGCGAGGCCAGTCAGCAGCAGGACGATGGCGACGGTGTGCAGCGGCTTGTCCAAGGCGAAGGAGTAGTCGACGGGGGTTGCAGTGCTCAGGTAACCGGATGCTAGGACGAGGCCGCTATTGTCTTGTCAGCTGGTGTGCTGCTGGTAGCCTAGGACTGTGCTTACCACGGGAAGAAGAGGGCCTTCCTGTCCATGACCGCCGCATTCTTCGTGGCGTTTCTTTACAGCGGTGGGGGGAAGAAGTAGTCGCGACAGGCAGCGCTCAACATGGCCCGACGGTGAATTGAGCGACGTGAGAAAGTGATTGTACTGAGGCCCGCGTCACTTGGAGCACGGCTGCCCGGCACCTGCAGCCATACCACCGGGCTGTGCTAGAGACCCTCACACTAACGGGAGGTGGAGAAGTCCGTGCCCACCCCGAGTCGAACGTCTATTAGCGGTTCTGCTATACGCAAATACGCATCTCTACGACGCATCCCATGTTTCGCCCACTGCCACTCGCTGCGTCGACATCGCAGTCGATGGGTGAAGGCACCCTGCAGTCGCCGATCGGACCCTGGGACGCGATCTCCAGGAACCGTCCGCAATTACATCACGCACACGAGACGGCTATCACGGCAGCTATTGCACTGCTTCGCCCCGCTGTGAGACGTGCGCAACTTGGGATCGCCGCTCTTGGTCGCCGTTAGCGGTATCAACTCTTCTTCATTTCTTCACCATGATGTTTGCCACTGCGACACCGAGTTCGCTATGAGACAGCAGTCGTCATCAGCCCTGGCGCTAAGCTACTATCGAAACAGCTTTTCTTGCGAGCGAATGGTGGGGTACGTACATGTCTTCGGACGCGGGAACATGCATGCGCCTCACTTTGTGGTGGCGCCAAGCACACGCGGCTGTCAGCATGTCATGCTCGTATAGGTATGTGAATACAGTCATGATGGTGTCCACTTCGATCTTTTCGCGTTGTAATGACTCCAAGACTAATGCGCCAGAAACCCGCTTTTGTGAGCAAAGGAGCTTCGTTCGCGGCACTGTAGCAAAATTGAAGCTACCGGCGAAAATTGGCCGAAGACGATTACCACATCCGTAAGGACTGGCAGCCTGATGTCCGCAAAAGCGCCGTGGTGCAAAGACTACTACTGCTAGGTCTCCGGCGCGGATACATGATTCAACGATGCTTTCGTTCAGACAACTTATAGCTTTCTTTTGCGGCCATGGTCAAATTCGTAGTCGGAAAAGTGGGATGATCTAAACCCTCCGCCAGCCACATCACTACTATGCAATGACATCAGAGTCTTCTCAACTTGGCTTGGAGTATTCCGTGCAGTGAACATGAGCCCGGTGTATCTTCCCACCCCAAAGAAAAAGAAAAGTCGTGCCAACATACGGTAGGTGTGCTTGGTTCGTGAGCACATCGAGGAGGGTGGCATCTGTATGGAACTGTGAGAGTGTGTGATTGAGCTTTCCAGACATCTGAGGACAGATGCAGACACTATTCTAGAACCTGGAACTCGGACATTATCACATACGTTATGTATCACTCGTCAGCTAATTCGCATAGGTGTGCGATACCGTTATTTGGTTCCGTCCCCTTCATCTACTGGTAATGCGACATCCCGAACCGAGCGGCGAGCTACTCACGATCCAACCGCACACAATCATTACCTACACAAAGGTACATCCGAATGAAATATGTCGCGACCATAAGAGACTTCCGGCATCGACCACTGGCGCAGTCCAAATTTGACCTCGCCATCTCTCACCCTTGTTTCTTTGCAACGACGGCCTCCCCTTTGGCCTAACATTATGAGCTTTGCAGCATTTTAACGGCTTCCGGACACTTATGATCTCTGCTCAAATTGCGAAGCTGCTGTCTTGATCGAACAATACCTCACAACGCAATAACCGATGATCGTCACTAAGAATCGCGGCGCTGCCAGAAAGGCGAAGACGCGGCAACCCCTTTGGTAGGCAGCCCGTACCCACCTACTTGCAACGAGAGCTAACACATTGCAAAGGTTAGGTCACAGAATCCTCCGTGTATACGCAGGCTCATCGCACCGCACATTCTCGGTGCACGCAGACATGCTTTGCGAGCGATCTACCTTTTTCAAGAACAAAATCCAGAAAGCAAGGAAAGATATTGAAGGCGATTGTGTCATATGCCACGAGAAGCTCGATGCGGTCGCCGCAAACCTAACATACTGCAAGATATGTGGGAACAACCTTCATGAACCCTGCATAGAGAAATGGTACAAGACCAAAAGCTCGTGCCCTACATGTCGTGCGGAGTGGGTCGCACCTTCCTCCTCGGAGTGCATGGTTCTTGAAGATCTCAGTGCCGATGGGTTCGATATGTAAGCTCAGTGTGTCTACGGATCCAGCCTCCCAACCTATAGCGAGGATCAAGGAGACGATGAACTTCGTTGCATCCGGCTGATCGATGCGCATATCGTGGGCGACTTCGTACAAGACAGCGATTTCGTACAAGTCGTGCGCCAGGACATCATCAGCTGCTACCTCAACGCCTCAGACGTCTCTCGCCAAAATCTCATCGATCGTGTATACCATGACACACCTGGTTTCTCGGGTCTTCGAAGGATGTTTATCGACCTACATATCGCCACGCACAAAAACATATTCCACAACACGTTTAAGATAAAGCGAGATCTCCCGCGGAACATCATTCAGGAGGACATTCTCTTGAGTATATTGGATAAGACGAAAGCTCGCAATAACAAACAAGTCTGGGACATCATGAGAACTGCTGGTCATATCGAACAGGACGACGAAAATGTTGACGAAGGTGATGATACTGGAGACGAGAGCCTGGAGGATTGAACAGAATTTCTGATGCGGAAGAACATGGATCGATGGTACGGAAGTATGGATCTGGCCTAGAAGGGTCGTCGGTATTGGCTGGGGTCATTTGAGCGTTCAGAGCAAGATCTCTACGCGACCTCGAAGAAACTGGTTGTCAAATAGATGCGGCGTGCATTCTAGAACAGTTGAAGGGTATTTGAAAATGTAATGAACTTACGCGCAACTACTCAAGCGGGTATCAGACGCATTCGCAAGGTCAGCAAACGTGAGCCCCATGAGTAGTGTCTCCAGTCGTCATGGCACAGAACTCGCAAACACACACAGGATGAAGTATAGCAACCATACGCATGCGAAGGATAGGCAGAAACATCGCGCCTTCCAAAGTCTCGAAATGTGTCCTGTCGTCTCCGCCAAGCCGCTCGCATCCCACCCCCGAACTCGCATCCCTCACCCAAACCAGGTTAGTCATCAAACCACCGAAGAACAGCCAGGTTCCTGCATGCCACTAAACCAAACCCGGCATTGTAAACTTCATCAACCACCCACTACTAACCTATACAACCAATCACGCGCACTACGCAGATGTGCGCACGACGCCCGAGGAATCCGGGTCGGAGGGTTTGGCACGACCGTCTCGCCGTTACGCACGTTTGTTTTTGCCGATGATGGGGCTGAAAGGCGCGAGAACCACGTTAGAACCACGTTTACTCTTCTAGCAAGCACCTGGGCATGCAAGGCGCAGGTGGCCCTGCGTTTTTCTGTTAGGCTGACAGGCGGAGGTGCGGTACTGGTGTATTCGGTATGTTCCGGATGAGAACGCGGGTGGAGGTACATATACGAGGCTACAGTACTTTGAAGTAGTGAACCGCTTCATCAATTTCGCCTCTCTTACCTGCTTTCGTGTGGGGGGTATTCAACTACCAGGACGCTACGATGGCTGCTACCAGCACCCCACCAGAAAAGGAACCGCACATATCCTCCCAACCCATAACCTGGACGAACTGGTGCAAGAAGATAAACTGGCTCAACACAACCCTCGTCATCCTAATCCCAAGCTTCGGTCTCTACCTCGCCCGCTCCACACCCCTCACCCTCCCAACGTTTCTATGGAGTGTTCTCTACTACGCCACAACCGCCTTCGGCATCACAGGCGGATACCATAGGCTGTGGAGCCACAGATGCTATTCCGCACGCCTTCCCCTACGCTTATTCCTCGCGTTCACAGGAGCAGGAGCGATTCAAGGGAGCATACGGTGGTGGAGCGCTAATCACCGTGCTCACCACCGGTGGACGGATACGATGAAAGATCCCTACTCGGTTATGCGCGGACTCTTATTCTCGCACATCGGATGGATGGTGTTGAACAACGATCCGAAAGTTAAAGGGCGGACGGACATCTCTGATCTCGATAGCGATCCCATCGTCGTGTTTCAACATAAGCATTACGGCAAACTGCTCCTGTTTACAGCCTGGATATTCCCTGCCTTGGTTGCTGGCGTGGGCTGGGGCGATTATTGGGGTGGATTTGTGTACGCGGGTATTATACGGGCGTGTTTCGTGCAGCAGGCTACGTTTTGTGTGAATAGTCTTGCGCATTGGATTGGCGAGCAGCCGTTTGATGATCGGAGGAGTCCGAGGGATCATGTGTTCACTGCGCTGGTGACGATGGGTGAGGGGTATCATAACTTCCATCATGAGTTTCCGTCTGATTACCGTAAGTTGCTGCTTCTTTTGAGCTATGGAAGCTATGATAATACTGATGCTTGAAAGGGAACGCGATTGCCTGGTACCAGTACGATCCGACTAAATGGCTCATCTGGATCATGTCGAAGATCCCGGTCTTTCCTCTAACATACGACTTGAAGACTTTCCGCTCGAATGAGATTGAGAAAGGTAGACTTCAGCAGCAACAGAAAGCCCTCGATAAGAAGCGATCGATGCTCGATTGGGGTGTGCCACTCGCTCAGTTGCCGGTGATTAGTTGGGACGACTTCCAGACTCAGGCTTCAGCCAAGGGTGCTGCTTTGGTGGCTATTGCTGGAGTGATACATGACGTTTCGCCGTTCATCGCTGACCACCCCGGCGGCAAGACTCTGATCAAGAGTGCGATTGGGAAGGACGCTACTGCAGTGTTCAACGGTGGGGTATATGAACATTCGAACGCGGCACATAATTTGCTGTCGACAATGCGTGTTGGGATATTGCGAGGCGGACAGGAAGTTGAAGTTTGGAAAACAGGTGGTGAGAAAGACACCAGAGACACCAAAGGGCTCGGTGTTGTCAGGGCTGGTGATCAGATCACGAGGGCAGCTGCGCCAGCTACGGCAGCCACAGCAGCCTGAATAATATGGGGTCGGGTATTGTATCGTTTATTTCAAACACAGAACTCTGGTATCGTATATGATCCTTATCTTACTTGCCCGAAGGCACCTCCTCCCACTGCACTCCGACCCATTCCTCCACATATCCAACTTCTCCTTCTTGAACATCGTTGGGCTTGCAGTCTTTGCTGCACACTGCCATGATGATAGTGCCCCATTCCATGCCGTCGAGGCTCATCTCATCAGCCTCTAACTCCGTGATCGCGTGTGGGGTCAGCTGAACCTCGAAGACTCTGTCCGCGCCACAGGTCGAACAGCGAGGGAACCCAGCCCCACTCCGTGAGCCTGCTGTCTTGACCTTTGCATTCGAGGAAGGGCCATTCTCCGAGTGTGGACCCAGAAGCTTGCCGATAGCATCGTTGTCGCTGTACAGGAGCGGCTTGCCTTTGTACTCATATCGTAGCACCTGCTCTGCATTCTCTCCGATGCGATCTGCAAACTTCTGGAACGTTCTGTCCATGGATGACTCAAACACCTCCTTGTCTTCTTTTCCACCGCCGCTACCGCTTCCTTCATTATCTGTGTCCATCCTCACGTTCGCTGGGATCGAGGGTGTTGAAGGGGCGTCTAATGTCTCGTATTCGGCGTCGAGGTGATAGTGAGGGAATGGCGTAGGGAAGGCTGAGTCTGCTGGCCATGGCTCATATGGACGCGGGGGTTGTTGTTCGGAGGGAGGTGATGACGAGAGACGAACTTTGGACGCGAACGTCTCGGGGAGGGTCGTAGAGGCTTCGTCTTTCTTCTCTTGGGGCTCGCTGACTTGCACTGCGGGCGTGGGATTCGATGCGCCGAAGGGATTGGTACCTGGTTTGGAGAAGGGGTTTGATGATGCTGCGCCATTCGGGTTGGACGAAAACGGGTTCGAGAAGGGATTCGCGGATGTCGATGCGCCTGTCCCGTTCTTCACTCCGAACAGCGACTCGCCAATCTTGGGCTGCGGCTTCTCTTCTTCCTTGATCTCCTTCTTCTCGGACCTGGGGGCGCTAGCCTTGTTGTTGACGCCTTTTGCGATGCGCACTCCGCGAATGCCCCTTACACTGCCCTCCTTTCTTCTACACGGCTTGCGCCGACATGTCCAGATGTAAAGTCGCCGCTCGTGGCCAGGAAAGTTGTCGGGAAGATCGCCGTTAAGTTCGAGGAGGAGGCTGAGGTAGCCGTTGCAGATTTTACATTTTGCTAAGGCGCCAGAAGGGGCTGTCTTCTCATCTATCCAGCTCTACTATGATCGTCAGAAAGACGCCCGGCGTGGTTGATGATATGCGTACCGGTGCGCCTCCAATGTGGGAAATCGCGTCGCCCGTTGCTTCCCTCGCTGCATATCCTAGCAGAACATTCGTCTCGGTGTAGTCGCCTCCATCGTCTGAAGAATCACTGTCATAGGGCGCCATTCTGGTTGTATATTTCCACAGGTGATTGTTTGGCGGGGTCTAACTTTTTTGAATATGACGCGGGGCTGCTCGGTGGCCAATGCGCCTTTTGTCGCACTGAGCGAATTTGACCAAGCCTGCAACACCAACTCTTCGTCGCTCATCCACACAACCACCATGGGCGCCCCTTTCGACTTCGCGCCTGAGCGGCCGGATCACATGCAGCAGATCCTCGATGGACTGGATCGCTACAACCCAGAGACGACGGGTGTCTTCCAGGACTATGTCATGCAGCAATGCGAGAACCAGACGTACGACTGCTACGCCAACCTCGCCCTGTTGAAGCTGTACGTGTCCCCCCCGACTCTTCCTTCCATGCTACAAGATGAATAAACAACCACAACGTTTCCTATTACCCGAGGGATGGAGCATGAATCACTCCCCCACTGAAGTTTATTATTAGCTCTATCTGACAGCTTTCTCCTGACTACCATTGTACCTCAAGCATCATCGCTACATCTGCTAACCACGATGCTCCAGCTACCAATTCAACCCACACCTTGCCCGCGACGAGACCATCACCAACATCCTCGTCAAGGCTCTCACCGTCTTCCCCAGCCCCGACTTCTCCCTGGGCCTCTCCCTCCTCCCTCCACACGTCCTAGCTCCTCTTTCGTCTTCATTACACAACCCAGCTGCCGGTGATGCGCCGCTATCAGAAGCTGTCCAGAAGCTCAACGAGCTGAGGAATTTGCTCGAAGGTGCTGACTACTCTACCTTCTGGTCCACACTAGACTCCGACGACCTGTACGCCGACTTAATTGCCGATGTCTCAGGGTTTGAGGAGCTAATGCGCGTACGCATCGCCGCAACCGTCAGCCAGGCGGTGCGCGAGGTCGACCGCAGCATTCTCGAGTCGTGGTTGAACCTCTCTGGAAGCGAGTTCGACAACTTCGTCGGAAGCGTTTGCGGGTGGAACATCGATGGTGCCAAGATCAAGGTGCCCATCAACAAGGACAACGAGGCTAAGGGCACCGTTGTCCGTGAGAACGTCAAGTTCGATCGTAAGTACACTAGTACCACAAACGTCGAGTCGCTGCTAACAAGCCTATCAGAATTTGCGAGGGTCATCAAGAGGGCATACGAACAGCCCGCATGAACGATACGATTTATAGTATGACGACATGAGGCTACGGTTTGCACGGTCGGCGTTTGAGGCGGACATTACAACTGCATCAGTATGCGACAGAAGCGTACCAGCTGCCCTTCGACAACCGCACAGGTTGATTTCGATGGCTCGCTATATACCCCAAAAGTACGCCGCTATGAGCAGGGCCCAGGAGCATGAAATCTCCATGGGCTAACAAAGATCCAATCACATAAATCCGACAAAGTTCAGACAAAGTTCACTGCTCCTCCTTTCCTTCTTTTGCAATCTAGATCTCCTTTCCGTTTCGCTTCTAACAACCCAGTCCCTGTCAGAAAACGGTGGATGACGGTCCCATAGGCTCGGAGAATCCTGACCTATGCTTCTCACACTCGCCAATAATCAGCCGCATGTCTATCATTCGTTATTAAATGTCCGACATCTGGAGCAACTTCTGGCTTGTAACATGGCGCGACAGTCGAATTGAACCGTACTGCGATAGGGAGTGGTGCCAAGTCGATGCGCAACGGCCCCGTGAATTTCGCTTATGTGTACGCCACCTTTGCCTCTTACCAACCGTCCAACCCTGTCAACAACAACACCAAGGACAGCTTCTACGTGTTTACCATTGCGCATTCCAGTCGATAACAATGTGGCGCGGCGGGTTAGCTCCTTTCGATCAGGTTTTGACCCTGACAGCTGAAGCTTGTTCGACATGATCACAGCCTGGAGTGTGCTTTTTGCGTTGAACTATGCAACGCGAGTCTGCGATTGTATATGGTTATGGTAGGGGTCAATGTCCTTTGCGGAATTCCTTACATTCACTTTCACCTTCACCTTGGTCGGTTGCGCTTCGAGAGAACCGGTGTCCACATCCCTCCAGTATCTACCAGTAACATTGCGAGCTCACATGCCCGTCCACGTCACACACAACATACACGAAATCTCCACATCACCGTTCAAAGACCGATCCTACTGACTTGGAACAATTCAAGCCAAAGTGCACTGGTAGCAACCTCTAGCTCACGTCACACGCGGCTTCTCGTCAGGTCTCACTTGTGATCGCCTCGGCTCAGCTGCTTCAGCTACCTGCAGCTTACACGGAGCTGAACGGTCCATCAGTTTTGATCACATTCAAAAAGCGATTGAAAATCTGCAAAATCACCCAGTTGTACGACCTTACCAAACATCGACAATACGTCATCATGCCTCTCCGGGAATTCTTACTCTTTATTGTGTGCGCCGTTCTCACCTTCGCGACCGCGCAAGCCAGTCCACTATCATCACCGCAGCAAGCGCCTTCTACCAAGCGCTGCACGAATGCCGTTGCCAATCCCTCATTCGAGATCCCTGTGCTGTCTCCGTGGATGGATATGGTAACCGGTTCGTGGTACTCTCGCGGAATATCCACCTCCCCTACAGGCGGACACTCCGGTAGCAATCTCTACGCCGCGACATCGAATAGCTCAGCGGTCCAAGCTACACTCACTTTATCGCAATCCTACATTGATCTTCCTGTCGGTGCGACGGTCGATTGCTACGCATGGGTTAACGGAAGGAGACCGAATGGGCAAACGCGCGTTGAGATCTTTCTGGATCAAGTCAGCTGTGGAGAAGCACTTCATATGGGGGCTGGACAAGAAGGCTGGACGAAGGTTGGAGGGAAAGTTCAAGTGCAAGATGTACCTGGAGGCGTTGGTCATTCGGTTGCCATTAGTGTGCAGGGCGATGGCGTTGAAGATAAGGAAGGCTGGAGAGTGGCTGTTGACGATGTTGGTGTGATGGTCGGATGCTAGACGAGCGGAAATGAGTGGCATGAACCAAGTGATCAGGTCAGGTTGGGTAGAGAGAAACCCGGCATAGTTGAGGATTTTCCAAGGGCTAAGATGAATAAAAGTGTCTATCAAAGAGCAGCCACTGCCGAGTGAACTTGAACTACCAGAGACAAGGAGAAAGATACTGAGCTATGACATCGACAAATGCAAGATCGGGTGTCTTACTAAAGGACTTCGCGCTAGCGGTCGTATTTGGCAGCTGCAGCACTCTACCCAGAAGCATTAACTAACCCCCGATCGTCGATCAACCGCGATTTTCAAACACTTCAATCACTCCGGTTCCTTCAGTCCAATCTCCGCCGCCTTCCGGTCACAGAACTCGGCCATGTCCACATCCTTGATACTCAGTCCCTCGGGCTTATGCGTAGTCCACTCAATCTCAACCCTATTATACAAATTCGACCAACTCGGATGATGCTTCCTGACCTTGCACTCATCCGCAACGAGCGACATGAACCGCCAAGCCTTTGCGAAACTGGTAAATGTGAAGGTGCGCGTGATACTCTTCCTCGCAGTGTTGATTTGCCATGCAGGAGAGAGGTTGGACACGCGTTCGGGTAAGTCAGTGGGTTGGTTGGCCGCGTAGATCATGTCATATGCTGCATCTTGTTTCGGCTGCGCTGCCGGACTAGATGACGGACGAGAGCCAGTGGATAGTGACCGGAACCCCGTCGTAGTGCTTGCGTATCCCGCATAAGGTAGGGAGGTAGCTTGTTGCGGCCAGATTTGCGTCTTGCAGCGGGTCAGCAAAGACGTTTTGGTGCGACAGTGATGCTGGCACAACGCCATGTACGATGGGCTGTGATTCGATGGTTAGATGGGTTTTAGTTCTGAGTCATCAAGGCAGGTGCGAGGGGCGAAGGTCAGACGAGGGAGTGGCTTGTTTGTTGGTCTTGCAGTCTTGGGGAGACTAGTCGTTGGACTTACGGGAGAGCCCGAGCGAGATTTTGGAGCCTTGTCATGATGTAGATGGAGTTTGGTGGTGATGAGGGGTTCAAGTGCAAGCAAGCGTGGGTGGATGACGGCTAGTTTTTTCTTCCGGAAGAGTATAGGAGTAATTTAGCAGACTGTACCCAGAAGAGAAGAATGATTAGTTGCGAGTTGCACAACAGATGCAAAGGCGATGCATAGTGAGGAGCGGAGTAGGAGTGAGAGCTAGCTACTACGATACGCCTTGCAAACGCGCATGGACCAAGGGTCTCGAAGATTACGGAGTACCCAAACGGCCATGTATCTAACCAAGATTTTGAGGAAGACAATGAGAGTTGTGTAATGGCAAGACTCGTGCATGAAACTAGATGGGATGGGATGAGTATCACAAGGTTCGCCTTGACAGCCATCGGCTGATGGTGCACATGCGCTTAGATGGACAGATGGGAATAGCAACGGCTGATCCGCGCGGCAAGTCATCAGCGTGGAGACATTGAAGGAAGGCGTACTGAAGCAGCGATTAACCTATCTCAGAGCGCAACAAACACTCCATTCGGTCCTTACGGGAGCTTCGGATCTGGAGACACATACATCCGATATACACTCTGTAATCAAACGCGAGAGACTAGCCCGTAGAGGATTAAGGTGTGTTTGACGGGTACCAGAGGATCGGGGTCGGGGAATTGGTCAGCATCAGCGCAAAAAGCAGGTCGCTGGTGGGATGCGGTAGGCAGGTCGTCGGATGGCAGCCGAAGCCAGACAGCGAAGGGCGACAGGGCGCTGATTTGCGCAGCGTGAGACGGGGCGAGTGGTGATGGCATGAGGGGAGCGTGTGCCATGGATTGCATTGTCCTGCTGCTTGAGCGTTCCCGAGGCCGACCTTGCCGCCCTGCTCTGTATATAGCGCGCATCGCCCTCTTCTTAGTCAAAGCTGCGTAATCCACTCGACCAACTGCATCGTCACGATACAGGTGAGCTGCCCCAGCGTCCTACAACCCGAGACGCGCAACCAAAATGCCGTCGCAACACTGCGCGCCTGTCTTGGCGCTGGCGAGCGCTGAAGCTGACTCTCACAGCACCGGCGCGCTCTCTTCACACACGGCAGCCTGCCCTCTCGCACCACCACCTTGTCGCGACGTCACCACCGCCGCCGGACCGCGCCCGAGGACCGCTGCTGCCACCCCGTCTGCTGCCGCCGCAATTCCCACGCTGCTGTCTAATCAACGCCACAACACCCTCGCTGCGGTGCTCCCGTGCGACGCGCCTTGAATGAGCCAAACTCTGGATCCTGCGATCCAAGCTAGCACTGGCTATAACATGCAGGCATCTGCCGCTCAGGTAAGCGGCGCTGACTATTCAGGCCCGTTGCGCTGCTGACACGCCCGTTCAGGATCAATCCAAGCCGACCATAGAGATGAGTTAGTGCCCCGCGCATCCCTACCCTCCTGCCGATTACTAACACGTATCGTCGCGCAGGCTTAAGAGAACATCTGCTCGCTGCTGGCGCTGGACAGCCCGGCGTGCAGCCTCTCCCCCAGCACTCCCCACACGCCCAGCATCCCCAGCACCCGCACACTGCTGGCCCACCACACGCCATCGACCCGGCAATTGGGGGCTCCGCCTACGACATGAGCGCCGGCGGCCCCGACGATGGGAACACGAGCGAGGGTCGCTCCAAGGGACGGAGAGAGCTGTCGACATCTAAGCGTGCCGCACAGAATCGCGCTGCCCAGGTACATGCAACGCGCGCATTCCAATGGCACAAGCTAACACCACCAGCGCGCATTCCGCCAGCGTAAGGAAGAGTACATTAAGCAGCTGAAAGACCAGGTCAAGGAGTTCGAGCAGCTATGCGAGCTGTACAAGACACTCCAAACCGAAAACTACCAATTGCGCGATTACATCATCAATCTGCAATCGCGACTACTCGAAACCCAGGGCGAGATACCACCTGCGCCGGCTGGTGTAGATCTCAACCGGCCCCACGAACAGCCAAACATGCACCAACAACCGAACCCACCACAGCCGCCCCAACAGCCCGAGCAACCACAGCAGGGCTCGAACAACAACAATGGAGGACTCTCGGAGCGCCAAATCGGCGAGCTGCAAATGGCAGCGCAAGCAGCAGCAGCCGCCCAACACGGCGCATCAGGCAACAAGCACACCAGCTCTGAAGGTTCGTACGACTACGCCGAGAAGCGCCAAAAGGTCGACGAGCCACCGCAAGGTCAGCAGCACCCTTCGCCGTCCTCTTTCTACCCCAATCCAGACGCTTATTGAAGACGAAGAAGCAGCCGGTCCGATCCATGGCTTACCAGCATAGTAGGCTCAGGTTCCTCCGCCGCAGATTACGACGCTTTTGTCAACGAACTCCAGCAATCGTCCAGCAAGCAGACCGCATAGGTACACCGATACTCACATGCCGCCGTCGCGTCTGCTCATCTCCTCCTCATCACCTCTTTATCGCTATTTTAATTCGCTTCTCAGCCATCCTTTTCTAGCCTCGCTTTATGATGTAATGCATAGGCCCTGAAGCCTGTCTTTTATTCGCTCGGGCCGGCGGTGTTATTCTGTGCTGGGCGTATGGAGTTTGTGTGTCATTGACACACTTACCACGTTTTTATTCCAACGCAGTGTATGGGTCAGGGTAGACTGGACCGTATTTGTAGCCTCCCCCGACAGGGTTCTGTGCTGCGCTGTGCTGTGCTGTTTTAGGGGAATACCAATGTTTTCGGTGGCTTCGAGCTGCTTCCACCCTTATATCTTTGCGCGGTTTGAGTGACACCTTCGGTTTTGCCTGCAATTAGTATTATTGCGCGTGTCGTCGCTGAGTCTGCTCGGGTTTGTACGGTACGATGTGGCGAATTGCGTTCAGTAATCCATTGCGGCCGAGTAAATCGCCGAGCGGATGAGGGCATTGAGACGACACCTCTTGATCCAGCTCTGGGACTGCAAGCAAAACGCTCCTTCCCTAGAGCTGGAAAAACACGACAATCACTCATCACATGCGAAATTCTCGGGAGACTCATAGTATGTAACTCTATAAATTACAATTTGGTACATTAAACGATTGGTATCATACTCCATATCATGCCCATCCGTGCATTTATCGCATAACAAAAAGGGACCTGATCAAACTGGCCAAAGGAAGAGAAAGCTCTAGCTGACATTTAGAAATGGGGCGTGTTAAGCGCCATAACCATAAGAAGACCGGAGATAAGACCAGCACCGGGCAGGGTGATAATCCATCCGGAGAAGATGAAGCCGACCTGCTTCCAGTTGACAGCCTTGAGATCAAAGTTGCAGAGCGCAACGCCAATGGTGGCACCAGTGAGACATTGCGTGGTGGAGACGGGGAGAGCGAGACGCGAAGCGAGGAGCACGGTGATGGCGGCACCGAGCTCCATGCTGAAACCACGGGTGGGCGAGACTTGGGTGATCTTGTTGCCGAGCGCGCGCACAATGTGGTAGCCGTAGAACCAGAAACCGATGCCGAGGAGGAGACCGGCGACGACGAGGATCCAGATGGGGGTGTCGGCTTCCTTGGTTACGACACCAGTGGTATAGGTGTTGTAAGAACCGACCCAGGGGCCGACTGCGTTGGCAACTGCGAAGGGGGATTAGCATGTGTGTAGAAGTGAGGATTTCAGAAATTATAGCTTACCATCGTTGGAACCGTGGGCAATGGACATCATCATGGCGGAGGCAACTTGGGCGTAGGTCCAGAGATGCTCGACGCGGTTGTCGTAGACAATAGCGCGGGAGTGGACATCGGCGAGATCCTTCTGGGTAACGACATCGCGGGAGACACCCTGGAGAAGGATAAACTTGGTCCAGTTGGCGATCTTCTTGGGAGAGTAGAAGGGAAGGTGCTCGACGGGCTTCAACCAGCGCTCCTCAGGCTCAGGGGTGGCGGGGACAATGTGAGCAACGGCGCCATCGCGGGGAAGAGGACGGGAGAGACCGCGGCCACCTTCGACGTCAATGTTGTCGCTGTCAGAAGACTTGTTGTCGAGGGAAGTGGAGTGGCCAACAGCCTTCTCACCCTTGAGTCCGTCGTTCTCTTGGATCGGGACAGGGGCAGCCTTCGCGTAGTAATCGGTAACGACCTGGTCGCCCTTGCCGGGGAAGTAGATGGGAGGGTTCTCGCGGTACAGAAGGGGACCGAGAGGAATGTGCCACGCCCTCAGCCTGGTGTCACCCTTGACAAGGCGGCGGGTGAAGTAAGGGATGAAGAAGATGTAGGAGATGGCAAGCATGCCGAAGAAGACACCGAGAATGATACCGCAGGCCTTGCCAGCGCCCATCTCCTCGAGAGACTCGCCGTTTGGCAGCTCGTCGATGATGAAAAGGGCGAGGACACCAGCGGTGAAAGCCAGGTAGAAGGGAATCAGGCGCATAGCCCACTTGAAGGGGTCCTTGCGGTTGTGGACACCGAACTTGATGGTCAAGAAGAGGACGGCAGCGAAGGCGGCGGACAGGAATGGCGCAATGACCCATGAGGCGGCGATCTGGGAGATGGATCCCTTTTTCCAGCCCCAACTGAGAGGAGATTGAGCAGCAATACCGGCACCAGCGAGAGCACCAACGACGGTCTGGGTGGTCGAGACGGGCATACCAGCGATGGTAGCGACAGTAAGGAAGACGGCGGATCCGACCTCAGCACAACCCATGGCGAGCATGAGGGTACCGGGGACAGGCTTGAAGGTGTCGAGGGCGAAGATACCGCTCTTGATGGTTCCAGTGACTCGGGATCCGAGAGCGACAGCACCGAGGAACTCAGTGAAGCAGGCCAGAATACCAGCCTGCCACATCTTCAAGGTCCTCGCAGCCACGGACGTGGCGTAGGAGTTGGCGACATCGTTGGCACCGTTGGAGGCAGACGAGGCGACAAAGGCGATGGTGGTGATCGCTAGGATCCAGTCGTACTTCTTCAAGGCGGGAGCCATTGTGGGTGAAGAGTGACGAGCAGTTGCGCCGGTTGACTGAAAAGGTGAGGTGTTGTGAGGTGTCCTGACTGTTTGGTTGAACGAGTGCAGGGGAGCTTAAGTACACAGCATACAAACGGAGGCGTGGGATCTTGGCGGCGCAGATGACATTTCACTGCAAGTGGACTTTTGTGGACGTCAGACGGTGCTGCCTGCCTGTTCGAGGCGCGGTGGATCATCGAAGCCACAATATCATGCTATTCGGCTCTGGCCGTGGTCCAAATGCCCAACAGCACCTATTTTCTGGACCCTCAGCGTCGCTCCGGGGTGAGCGTTCGGGTGCACGAGACATGTGATTGGTCTACGGAACCCCCAGGGCTCGATCCACCCGCATGGCATGTTGGTGTCGCGTTAAGTCTCCACTGTGTCTTGTCGTGGGTCTTCGCCATCGCCTTGGTGTAACCAAGTCAAGGTGAACGAACGAGCGTTCGACGCTGTACCACGTTCCCTTGGCGCCCAGTCCGCCCAGCCCCACGCCAAGCTGGTCCTCCGTCCTGCGAAATCTCTGATAACCCCAGATCGCTCTCTCCACCGCGAGCGCCGCTAATTCGGCATCCAATCACATTACGCCGTTTTACCTCGTGGTAGAACCACGCTCTCACAGCGAGCTACAAGATTGCGGATGGCAGAGCGTGGTATCGGTATTCACGAACTACGGTGCCGCATAACCGCGTTCCCGTCCGCCCAAGTAAGCCTTGCAAGGATTGCCGAGGCAACCTTCGTCGAGCTTCGGTGGTTGCCATGTCTTGAGGCAAAGTCTTGACAGCCAGTCCAAGCCTTCCATTGAAGACATGTGCCCTGTCGTCTAGCAATGCCCGTCTGGACATGCAAAGAAATAAGGCATTCGGGCTGACCGAGTGGGTGTCATGACTTCGCGAGGAGATGATGATCGAATATGATCAGGGTCTACCGAAAAAGAACTGCGAGCTGAAGGCTAACGGTGACATACACACGCGCCTGGTACATGGGACCGTGTATGACGATGGTCGGATAGGCGCCGTGTTAGGTAAGCCACATATAGGCGCAATCGGTCCGTCGACATGTCTCCCTCTCGCGTCTATTTTCAGTCACTTCACTTCCGTACATTCGCGGACTGCATGGTATAATCTTGTATTGTTATTGGGTTTCGACCACTCGGCGAGCCCCGGTCTGCCGGGGGCAAGTTGGACAGTCAGGCACTCTGCAAAAGTCCACTGTTTTCCCATTAATCCATGTCGTCCCTAATCATGCATAGAAGCCCGCAAATTCTCCCTGCATATTGTATATCCGCTACCAGTGTCCCAGACCCATGGTACACGAGTTTAGACCCGCTTGTCGCCGTCTGCCGTTACTTGCAGGAATCTTAGCCAGCAGGGGTCAGTGAAGTGTCACGAACCAAGACAGTTAGTACGAATCTAACTCGGAGGTGCCACACTTATTAATTGCCTCTGTCTCCCCACTGAAGGAATATGATTGTACGTTTTAGAACGGTCCACTTCCCTCTCAGGCTCCCCAGTATACCCACTTCATGCAAGGAAAACACCGAATACTCTGGAGCCTATATTGTCGCCGAGTCTTCCAATTTGCCTGTCCTGAAATAGTGTAGTCTGCAAACCTGTTTAGGTCTTTCCTTGTCTGGGGTGTGTCTTTCGTATGCTTCTGCGCTAGACTTCACAATCTGCCCACTCTCGTCCGTCTCCCCACTCCATCCAGCTGTGCAGCTCTTCAGCCATCTCAAGATACGAAACTGACCCCCTTGGCAAGCCCAGACACTCTCTGACCAGCCTATCGAACACCTTCTTGAGCTCAACACAGTTGTCCAACGTAAGCTCTGGAATTTGTCGTCTCATCTCGCTCGCCAAGAGTATGAGCGCCAGCACCTTTTCCTTGCCCCGAACCTCGTTGTAATCGCCGAAAGGAATGTGGATAGATTCTCGACAGAGCGCTTCGACTGCAGGAACGATGGAAGTAGTGATGGACCTTCCGTCTTCCTCGTTGGTCACAGACGTGAGTGGAACGTTGTGAAGCAAAAGATATTGGGTGATGAGCAAGGGAAGTGATCCATTCAGCGCCGCGATGAGGTCCTGCATCGTAAGCTGAACGCCTCGGTCGAGCGCCAGTTGTATGATAGCGCGATGACCGTGTGTGGCAGCGATGAGCACAGTGTTGACGTCCGCGTCATCTGGATTTACCAAACCTTTGTCGAAGACGTATCGCACAATGTTGGTATGACCATATTTGATCGCAAGGCGTAAGCCTGCAGTCAGGGCATTCCAATAGGGCAGGTCGGCGATTAGAGGATTCCATCGGTCCATGAGCCATATGAACAAGTCCATATGTCCCCACCTCATGGCATCGGCAAGGTAGTGTGACCGGGACTTCATATGCGCTGGTATCTCAACGCGGCATCTTGGCAAGAAATTAAACAGTGTGACAACGGCCCTCAGTGTTCCGGTCCGAACTGCGAATCTTATTGCGGAAGTGATAGTCTCTGTGAGTGGACCGCAACGGGTGGTACGACCGTGCTGTATCCGAGCGAAACGCCGCTTCGTGAGCTCATTGTTGACTACTATGAGCAGACACTCAAGAACTTCGACATTTCCACTGCAGGCTGCTGCGGTTAAAGGGTTACCAAAGCCAGCAAAGTATTTGGGGAACCAATCAATAACCTCAGCAGATTGCGAAATGTAGTGACGAACAGCTGCGAGACTCCCTACTGTAGCTGCTGCTGCCAGCATGTCATTGACGTTCTCTTGTGAGGAGTTGAGATGGTCCCGTTCCCTTTCCGCTATGCTGCGCGAACCGGGTCTGAAGATTGATGTAAAGACGGAGTCCAACGGCAATGGTTTTATTTCGAACATAGTCCGTGGGGCAACTTCGTTCGTAAGGACTAAACCATGGATAAGTGCCTTCGAATAGTCCTGTCGTAGAACAGAACGATCAGTGCCTGCTGTAGCGAACTCCATGAGCTTATTCGTGACCTTGTGTATGAAACTCGGCAGTCCAGAGGCTATGATATCTGTATCTTCGATGTGATTGAGCAGATAGGTTTCGATGTTGCTCAAAAGGTAGCCCTTAATGTCAGATGGGAGCGTACCCATCGAGTCGGTATCATCATCCTTGTTATAACGCGATATAACGTATAGCTGATGCAGAGGAGGTAGAGGGTTATGAATATCAAGGCTAACAGGGATCGGCTGGCGTTGATGGTACCGATTATGGAAGTCCGCAACAGAGGTTTGTGCAAGAAGTTCATTGTCGATGTCTCCGGCAAATGTACCTGTCTCTATTAGCTTCGACGTACAGTGCTGTCACGAAGGTCTAATGTGTACGGGACACGGCGCGCAGTCGAATGAGCTCATGAAAGGGCGCTGCACGCGCAAGGGCGGCGACAACCCTCTCGAAGAGCTCCGGTGGCAGATCGAGTAGCTGCATGTTAATAGCCTGAAGCAAGTGAGAGTGGTGCAGTGTGGAGAGAGGGTTTGAAAGTAGGAGGAGGTGAGTGAGGGTCTTGCCAAGGTGGCTGTAACAGGCAGTGGCGTTGATAAGCGAGGTGAACGAGGAAAGAGCAAACATGCGCGGCTGAGCGCATGAATCAAGTCCACTTGGAACGAAAGAAAAAAGAAGGGACGATAGTCCTGTTGGTATATGGGAACGCCGTGGTGACTGAGCATAGGCTGAGACGAGAGCTTGCCGACGTTGTGTCTCACGGTGAACAACACCGTTGGGTTCATTCGAACGGGATGACTACACGCGGACGATGCCAAACGCAGCCACACTCTCATCAACAATAGATCGTGGACGGCGAATAGTCACTCAGCAACAGATACATGGCATATTCACCACATAATCGAATGAAGCGCAAGACGAGAGACTGAGTGACGTCACACGAATAACATCTCTATACTATGAATATGCTTTATAGTACAAGTCTATCAGATGTGCTCGAAAGCACGGGGTATCAAAGAAAAAAATGAGGTAACAAATAAAACTCTAAATGCTCGCTTGAAAGGACTAAAGGGGGCGTTGATGAAAGTACTAGGACATGAAGACTTCGTTGCACGTGAGCTCTTCAGCTTTGTGTGGTGTACATGTGTATGTGGTCATGCATTTGGGATGTAGTGTCGCGGTAGGATTGATGCTGCTGAGGCATCAGGTGATGTTGAGGGTGTTGAGGATGTTGAGAATGCTGATGGTGTTGTGGGATGTGATGCTGGGGCTGCTGATGCTGATGAGGGTGACGCATGCCCATTGCGGCAACACTGTAGTCAGGAAGCATCTCTGACGAAGCTTGACTCATCTGCGATGATGGTCTCTGATTCGAAGAGCTGCCTCTTGAGCTGCTTATCCGACTGCCTATCTTGTGGAGCGGCTTCGATATCATTTGACCGAACGAGGGGCGGTCGTAGTATTGCGACTCTTCGAATTGGGGAGCAGCACCGAAGTAGTTGGGATACAGTGATTCCAGTGGGTTGGGTGTAACCTTGACTTGGTCCATGTACTCCTGTTGGTACAACTGTGTGTGCTGCTCGTGATCCATGACTGGCGTGGGGTGTGCATGGGGTGTATGCATTGTGGATGTCGTCATAGCCGGTGGGAGATCAGGAATAGCCGGTTGCGCTACGTCCAGGTAATCTCCAGGGTCCACGTCCATATAACTGATACGGCGGCTGGCCGTATCCACTGCGGGCGCACCAGGCGTCTGCGGCTCCACAAATGGAGACGAGCCGCAATCGTAGTCAGGTACGTGCGCCAACGAACTACTGATGCGTAGCAAAGCTGCGTTGATACTTGCGAGACGCGCTCGTGAGTGATGCGGATTTGAGTTTCCGATGAGTATGTGCATCCGCTGCTCGCGCGACAGCTTCTCAACATGAGGCACGGAATCTCTCGAGGGAGTTACGAAGCCGGTGGGTAGCTGTTGATGCACAGGGTCCAGGGGTATATCAGCGCGTAGACTCAAGGCGGTAATCAAAACCTCTTCCCGACTCGGTCGAAGGTCACAGCACTGGAGCTTCTGTCGGAGGATTCGCGAGTTGTCGGGGCACCAACTAATCTGCGACCGACTCTCTCGCAATCTCTCGTCCAAGCAACCGATAAGCTCTTTCCATGTGTCGTGGAGAGCTTCCTGTCGTATCAGGTTCCTGATCACATTAGAGTATTTCCATTGGTCCATCGTCGCGCCATTCTTCATGTGCTTCGCGACGTGGTCGCATCGCTCATCCCAACCGATGCTGACTTCTTTACACTTGTCGAACCCGCAACCAAACACTCTTCGCGGCAATAATGTGATGCCAATGTCTGTGAGCGACGGCAGGGGTCGACCGGCATGGTAGCGTTGATGATGCTTGATGAAGTCTTTCTGTCGGTCGAAAATGCGGTTGCAACCGTTGACGACACATGGCCAGTCTTCTCCAGTCTCGTGCATCCTCATCTCATGTTTCTTCCAGTCAGACTTTGCTTTGAACGTCTTCTGGCTCTTCTGTTCGGCACAATACGTACAGAACATGAATGGCTCGCCCGACTGACTCTGTGACTTGTCATCGTCCGGGTTCAGCGATGGAGAAGCAACACTAATGTCGTCTGTCGGTGTGTAGCTTGGTTCAATCTTCAGGTCAAGTGGACTCTCGGTGTCCACCGCAGGCATGGAAGCCGGCACCGGACGTGTCGGATCAAGACCAGCTGGGTAGGAACGCGGCTCCGCCCTTCTCATCCTAGAGCGGGATGACGAAGAGGAAGCAACGGAACTTCGCGTATCACTGCTCCCTGTAGATGAAGAGAATGTTGATGCCATAGAAAGCCGAGACCGCCATGATGACCCCGACGAGGATGTTGTAGATGAGCTCGCGGTGCTGGTAGACATGAATGACGAGGCTGTAGAGTTTCGGCCTAGACTTGGTGAGCATGTACACACAAAACAACACAACGAGGAACGTACGCGAATCTATCGCTTGAGAAAACATTCTCTGGATCAAATGTGGAGGATGCCTCGCCAGCAGGGCCTCAATGTGTCGCATAGACTCCTCCGGTATGTCTAGGTTGTCCTCCATTGTGGCGAGGGGAGAGCCGTATGCTCAGTTCAAATCGCGCAACAGAAGACTACTCCAACATGCCGACCATGAAGACCTTGCGACAACCCAAACGACTGAAAACTAGAACGAACGACAGGCGGAGGTGCAAAAGAGGGTGGGGAAGGGTATCCAGGTGTCGCGGTAAGACTAGGGGCCAAGGAGTGGATAATCGTGTATCCGAGCAGGCATCAGCTGCTGTTGGTGCGACAGTTGATATACAAGTGGGATCACCTCACGCAAAGGTGCAGCGGGGGATGCGGAAATGGCACGCTTCTAGAAGGCGTATGGAAGGATTGTAGAAGAAGCTAATTGAGGGCTGCTCGCGGGGGCGCTCGTGCGCAACATCGACATGACCACTGCCCTGGTTTGGCCTCAAAGCTGGGGCAAGGCTGAGGCTACGACAGGCATGCCAATATGTAGCGTGTTTGAGGTGGCCGCAAGGAACCGTAGTAGGGGCTGGGAGAGCACGAGGGCAAGCGACGAGAATGAAAGAGATAGTGTGCGCATCGACTGCTCAAGTCTCTTTCAGCGCCGTCTGAAGGCAGTTTTCGAGCCGGGTCGAGACGTGGCCGGACAAGGTGGCTGCGCGAGGCGATGATTCGCACAGACATGGTGTGCAGCAACACGCACCTATCGCAGAAACGCAACAGGCCATCCGCAACGAATCCATCCGAACACTAGGCCCTGTAAGGGGCATGCAGCGCGCGGTACCTGGATGACGCACCGCTGGTAACTTCTCGAAGTGTGTTGGTGCCGTGATGAGTGACATTTTTGGTGGGACCTGACAGGATTCATTCCTGCACGCCGAACTTCGGCATCACGCCTTCGCTTAACGCAGACGCAGCTATCGCAGCTCGACAGCCGGTCAGGTGTTGGACGAGGTAGCACGGCGGCCATTGTACATCGAGGAAGGACTCCCTCACAGCGCGCACATGTCAATCAGCACTCGAATGCCCTTCCCACGACGACTTACTTGAGACGCGGTGGCTGACAGAATGGAGTGCTGACGGCAGGAGCACGTACCCCATGCATGAACGATAGCAGCGAATGAACGCTTTGGGACTGTGATTGTAACAATTGGGCTGCCGCACTGCAGTCCGTCATCGCTGAGGATGCCCTTGTAGCTCGAGGTCATCGCGTAACCACGCGCGATCAAAGGAAATATCGACTAGTGTAGGGTAATGTAAGGAGACGGGACTCTGCCATAACGGGCAGGAAGTGGCCGGATAAATTGCAGTAGTTCGAGATAACAGCCTTAGCTAGAGCGTTTGGTTGCTTGGTATGTGAAATCGGACGGAGCGTTAATCACGAAGACGTACTGTAATTAACTCCATCGCGCCTCTTCCATGTCGTCGTGAGCGCGTATCCACAATGGCGTGTCCCTGAACAGCGGCGCCGTCGTTCGGGACCCGAACCGCCGCGGTACTCTCGAGGACGTCCAGACCGCGAACGGTTTGCCCAAAACGACGAGCAAAGTTTGGGCGAGAGTCAGGAGCGGACTGAACTTTGGATGCGGCGCGAGGTGGTTGGCGCGACGCCCGGTTAACGTTGAATTTTACGTCACGTGGCGCGTGCACACCTGGGCAGTTCACACGGTACTTGCGCAGGCAAGTCAAGAAGCACCATGACCCGAACGTACGGCGTAGTTCAACTCTGACAACATTGGTGTTACATCGCTCTGGGGCCCCATCCATCCGGCCCACATACTACTACTTATCGCTTGAACTCTGGTCCTCAGAAACTGCAAACGATATTGCTAGGGATTGTCTGTGAAACCTTCAAAGCGCGCGGTAGTTGGAACGACTATTCAATTCTGTTGACACGCGGCATGGTTTCCGCACTCTGCGAATGAAATATGGAAGTACAGAGATAGCCAGCTCATACAAAGTGTCCATCGCAGTCAAAGTTGCCCTCCGTCTTGAAATTGCATGAACTCTCTTCTCCGCCGCCAGTGATACGAACGTTGTCGATCTTGATGTCGCTACAGCTTCCTTCACCGCAAAGGATATAGTAGTTCTTTCCTTCCTCTGTTGCCGTGCCAAAGATGTTCTTCATGGTGATGTTTTGGATGATGACACCGTTCGTGGGGTTGCCAGTTGGCCCGCCGTTTAGGTAATCTTGCTGGATGTCGATTCCGTAGATGGAGATGTTTTCAACGCGAATGTTCTCGTAGTGGATGTTGGAAATGAAACCGGTGGTGTTGGAATTCGACTTGATGCGGGCTCCGTTCTCGGCGTTAAGAACCACGGAGTTTGTGAATGAGATGTTTGTTACGTTGTTGTCTGAATAGATGTGGTTAGTAAGGCATGATTACTGTATGGACGGATGGTGGGATGGCATACTTGACTTTCCACCCACAGATCCGATGGAGAGACCGTGGCTGCCGTTGCAGTACATGTTGCTGACGTGGATGTTATCTCCACTGGTGACAGCTACGCAATCATCCTGGTTGATAACGACACTGTCGCGGACCTTGGTGTGATTGGTGCTACTCAGACCAAATCCATCGCTGTTGTGTGCTGCAGGAAGGCCGTTGGAGCGGTTGTTGGGCGCGTATCCGTCGCTGTTGTCCAGCGTAATGTGGTGGACATCTAGACCAGCGCTGTTGCTGATACTGAAGCAGTGCACCGGATAGTTCTTGATGTAGATGTCGTGTACTGAACTCTTTCCAAGCACCTTCACCTCAATGAAGTGGTTTGGCTTGGTAACGCCTCCGTTGCTACCAAGGCCATCCCACCAAGCCTGACCATTGCCATCAAGTACTGCGTCTTCTTCGGCAGTGATCTCAACATTGGTACCTGCCACCTTGATGAAGGCATAGTTCGCATCGGCGTACTCCCAGAAGGTTCTTCCTTTGAATGTGACCTTGGTTCCAGTCTTCAGCTTCGAAAGATCGATGCTTGAGTTTCCAGGGACGGTGATGCCATCAAGGGTTATGCAAGTACAAGCTGCGACTGCAGCCGGGATATCGGCGTACTTCGTCACGTAGCAGGCATCGGTCCCAGTTGCAGAAGGTGAAGGTACGGCAGATACAGTTCCCGCAGTGGCAAGAGCCAATGATGATGCAGCTGTAAGTTCGTCAGTACAGAAATGGTCTAAGCTGCAAAGTGCTATTAGTACCGTGGAATCGCATGCTGAAGGTTTGAATCTGACGTGAGCGTTAGGTGAAGATGAGTATACGGGATATCGACGACGCTATATAAACGTATGCAGGGCCTTGGGGTCCCCAGATAATCTGTTGAAGAGCCACCTGCATATTACCGACTAGTCGCCACATAATCTTGCGCTCGGCCGCTGTAGTGGTAGAAAAACTGCAGCCTCGTCATTTCCGACCCCAAAGCACAAGCACTTCAAGCACCAAAGCCAAGTCCAGACGATGCTTGACAGCAGTGCTATGCGAAAAGAGGCATTTGACCCACAAATCGGCATCCGGAAGCGTGCTATCATGGGGAACGGCTCGGAAGAACAGGGGGTACGGCTGGCCGGTCAGTGGCAAAAGGTCTAAATCGTGTTCTGTTTGGCCGATTATTGCAGATGTACAACGTGAAACATTCATCCGGAATGCCACCATGGCCGTAGTGCAAATGCGGAGCGACTGTGCGGAAAAAATGGGTTCCGTCCAACGGCGCGGCTACTTGGAAGCGTAGATGACGGGATGAGTGATCACGGAAATGATGGAGGTCAACGGCATCTGCGGATGCTATACTAATCCACGAGCTTACGCGCAACCAACGAAGAGTGTTAAGATGATTGCATCTTCGAACACGAAGAAGCGCCGGTATACAAACAAATATTGGGTTGTACCTGCAATGACGGCTGAGCTGCTAGAGCAAGCATGCGCGTTGAAAAGTGATCAGGGAAAGGGCTAGGTGACTAGCGGCTTGGCACATAGATCGATACGTGCCCAACCTTGTAGCTCCTCATCTTCTAGGCCCAGTGAGCCCTCACATGAACACACCGCTCACATCATCTCCAGATTTAGTATTTGAACAGCGAAAAACGGAAAGGGGTGTTGAAAGAGATTCTATGAATACCGCGCCGCCTCACATCGACATGAGGAAGACTTCCACGCCGAAGAGGTAAGAACACCAGGTTGAAACAGATGTTTAGTCATCTACGTCTTCAGAGTCAAGCTCCATGGCTGCGATCAGTCCCACGAAATCCAGCGCCGCGCAAAGGTCACATAGGTGTATCTTCACATCATTTCGCAATCCTCGGACCGAAGTCGACGGCGCACATGTAACTCATGATGATCTCTTCCGAAGGCGATCGCGCAAAAAGATGGCAAGCCAAGCAAACGACACAACATGATAGATGTCAAACCACATTGTGCCAAACCACATTTTGGACTTTTGGAGAAGCTGGGAGGTCATTGAATTGAATACCCATAGTGGTGAGCGAAAGTCACTTCATTTACACATGGACGCCAGTACACATCTGAACGTCTCTTTGCAAAATGGCAATGGCTATCCCCTTCTGGCGATCAAAGCTTCTTGGTCTCACCGAACGGGCTCAGAGACGCATCACCTCCTTACACCTGACTTTTCGTCAAATATCCTTCGAAGCTTCCTCTCCCACGTCGATGGAAGTGTGGAGATTCACCCGCTCCATCGACATAGCTCATGATTCGCATCGCGCTTGTTTTTGATACCTCCAGGTTCGTTTCCAGAGAGATTTGGGATCAGCATGACCCCAGCATCTCTGGATCCCGAGGGACATGAGGACAGGCGGACGCGAAGATCCGATCGAACGCGAATTTGTCGATTTCGCTCGAGCATGAACCGGAGCAGCTCCAGTAGACCTGAGCACCGACATGGTGTTTTGTTCATCAATATCGTAAAGCTCAGAGGATGACTGCCGCTAATGGGACAACAACCTATTCGCAATCAGCTACAATGCTATAAATCAATACAAGGAAACTTACCAAGCCGACCAAACTCATACCCATCCCCACATCCTCGATCCTCGCCGCCCCACCAGTCGAAGCCGGCACCGTCATCCCTGTTGTAGGAGTCGCAGTTGAATGAGTCGCAGTTGACTTCGAAGCAGCAAGAGAAGCCGCCACCTGTGCGGGCGACAAAGTCTTCGCTGGATTTCCATACGGCCTAGACGCGACTTTCGACGCAGTCTCATCTTGATCGTCAGGTAGGGGCACATCAGGCACTTCAAAGCCTCCAGTCGGTTTAGGTGCTTGGAAGCCTCCAGTCATTTCAGGTGCGTCAAAGCCTGGTGTCGCTTCAGGGTCTGGTCGGTCGGCTGGCCTGTATGGGTTGGGTGCTGCTGGTGCTGGTGCGGGTGCGATGGGTTCGATGATTTGGGGTTTTGGTGGATTGGGGATACGTGGTGGGGGGATGAATGCTGCTGATGATGTTGCGATGAAGAGGGTGTATAGGAGGGTGTGTGGTAGCATTACGACAGATTTAAAAAGACTTAAGTTTGGATGTGATGACGGTGTGTTGGAGCAACGAGACTAGATGGACAATGGAAGAGCATCGCGAAATATCCACACGTTGTATATATGCGCCCATGATGTATGTGGGTTTCAAGGCGCCCATACTACATGGGCAGTGTTGTGCTAGTCACCTATTGTTGTTGCGGCGCAGCACCGAAAATCAAGGGTAGGGAATACGCCCTGCAGCCCCGCGATTCGGGCGATGCACGCCATGGCTTGATCCGTAATTTCAAAGGTTGGGGGCCAAAACACCAAGCTCCGATATTTCCAAAACTTGAAAATGGCGTGGAATGGAGGACAATATGAGTAATCAAGGCCTTACTCTCAAACCGAACAGACAGGAGATGTGCGCAACACTGCACCCTCTGAGATCTTTCTTAGAAACGCCATCGCTATGCAAACACAAGGATAATAATACACCGACGACCCACCGCTTCAGTCAGATGTTCAAACGACACATGATCTTGATCATCGTACGTTGCCGTATTAATGAATTATCCTGTTTTGATCTCAATAAATTCCATTTGAAGTAGTGCTTCCTGACGAACTTCAAATGGAAAATATTGAGATCAAAATAAGGCGATCCATCAACACAGCAACGTACGATGACCAAGATCATGTGTGTTCAAACGAACCGACCAACCACATCTCCTTCCTCTCACGATCAACGATAAACCTCATCAAACGGCCTGGTATCCCGGAAGCAACTCTCCCACACCTCATTCACTACTTTCCCAGCATGCTCTTGATCCTTTATGCCCGGCCTCGCCATCATACTCAGCGTCGCCCTCCTCCTAACACAAGACTGTAATTGTTCCATGATATTCCATTGATTCCTCGTGAAGAACTCTCTCGAGAAACGGCATTCGCCGCTGAGTGTGGATGCGCGAATCTCTAGACAGGCCTGGTGGCGCAGGTTCTCAGGTTCGACTTTAAACTTCAGATGGTCCCACGCGTGAACCATCTCATGCGCCATGGTGTCTTCCTGGTGCCCGCGATTACGGAACTTGTTTGCGCAGAGCAGGATGCCGTGGTCGAGGGAGAAACCACCGGATTGCTCGTTCGTGCACATGCGACAGAGTATATTGTCTTTGTTCAGGTCGCCGCCTAGTTTGTACACTTCGTCCGACATGAAGCGTATGATGGGACTGTATTTCAAGAGGTATTCCTTGTTGGACTCGCAGCGCTTGCATATCGAGTCGGCTTTTATCTTGTCCATTTCGTTGAAGTAGCCTTTCTCTAGTTCGACGTCGCGGGAGCCGGTCATGCGGCCGAGCATTATGTTGAAGGTGCTGCTCCATGTGTAGTATACGGGGTCGATCTTTTGGGGCGGCGGTTGGGCCATTGCGGAGAGGGATGCGCCGTCGGGCGCTGTCTCGGAGTTTGCCATGGTGGCAGGGCGTGGAGTGACGTTCGAGTTGAATTACGGGGGGATCAAGCGTTGGGCGTGCAGGTGTCGCGTGGCGTATAGATGTTTGGTGTAGGGCGTGGCATGTTCCTGATTCCCGTCGCGAAAAGTTTAGGTGGAGATGGAGATGCAGCTGGTAGCGCGGGGAGCCAATCGGAGGGAAGACGTCACCGCGTACAAGGGAAGCCGAAGATCGCTTGCGAGGAAACTTGGGCAGCTTACAGTCATCCATTGCGCGACAACACACGAGCTGCGTGTTCATATAGTACACGACGTGTTGTACATATCTCACCGTCTCCTTTCGTCCAAGACTTATAGCCATCACCACCTTAGGGCTTTTGTCACTCCCTCCGTCGCAATGGCCGTCCACATGCGCAAGCAGCCCGGCCAGCTCACCGTGGTAATAAAACTCGGTAAATACACAACCGTACATATGCCACATCGACAAGAAGAGAGCACCTAACCAACACACCCAGGAACCTCATCCATAGTCGACGAGAAGACCCACCAACCCCTCCTCTCCATCCTCTCCCTCATCGTCGAGACAGCATGCAGTCTGCGCGCCGCCGGCCACCGCGTCGTAATCGTGTCTTCGGGCGCCATTGGTGTCGGTCTACGGCGCATGAACCTTCCACGTCGTCCAAAACACCTCCCACAAGTTCAAGCGCTCGCTGCTATCGGACAGAGTAGATTGATGTCACTATGGGACCAGCTGTTTGGCCACTTAGAGCAGCCGATTGCTCAGATCCTGTTGACACGGAATGATATTGCGGACCGGACGCAGTATCAGAATGCGCAGAACACATTTATTGAGCTGCTGAGCATGGGTGTCATTCCGATTGTGAATGAGAACGATACTTTGGCGGTTACTGAGATCAAGTTTGGTGACAACGATACGCTGAGCGCCATTACATCGGCCATGGTCCAGGCGGATTATCTCTTCCTCATGACGGATGTGGATTGCCTGTATGACAAGAACCCTCGTACAAATCCAGATGCCAAGTCCATACCTGTCGTAGAAGACATTGCGGAGCTGGCAGCAGACGTCAGTTCGGCAGGTAGTTCACTGGGAACAGGCGGTATGAGCACGAAGATCGTTGCTGCAAGACTAGCAACAAGCGCAGGTGTCACAACAGTCATCACAAAGAGCAGTAAACCTGGCAACATCTCCGGCATAATTGCGCACGCCGAGAAGCAAAGAAAGTCACGAATGTCAAGTCGAAACTCCGTCACCAACTTTCAAGACGAAGGCGCACCACTCGCACAAGCCGCATCTCAAGACTCCAACCACGATCTCTCAACATCCACATCCACACTTGACAACCAACAACTAACCGGCCTCTCCTCGCCCAAACCAGAAGAGCCCGTCCCCCTCCACACCCGTTTCCTACCCATATCCAACCCCATCCGGGACCGCTACTTCTGGATTCTCCACGGTCTTGCACCCCACGGCACAATCTACATCGACCAAGGCGCGTGGGCAGCCCTGAGCGACAAAGCAGGTCTCCTCCCCGTGGGAATCGTAGAAGTAGACGGCCACTTCGCCCAACAAGAAGCCGTACGCATTGTAGTCGTCAAACGCCTCTCCAACCCACCTCACTCCCCCAAACCGACGACTCAAACACCACCAACGCCCCAGCCGCCCAATACACCCGGCGCCCTAGCCCACGGTGTCCACGCCCCAATTCCTATCCGAACACCACTCACGCACTCGTCTTCGTCATCGTACTCGATGTCCTCTTCCCAGACACTATTGCAGCATCCGCCCAATTTCGAACTGCACAATCCCGCGCCGTTTGAGATAGGGAGGTGTGTGGTGAACTATTCTGCTACGGAGATCAGACGCATCAAAGGATTGCATTCTACGCAGATTAGCGAGGCGTTGGGTTATGCAGATAGTGAGTATGTGGCGTTGAGGGAGAATATTGCGTTCTTTGGGGGTGAGAGGAGTAGGCCTAGTACGCCTGATTTTAGGCATGGGGAGAAGAAGGGGGAGGGGGTTGAGGCGCATTGAGGGTGCTGTGGTGGGGCATGATGCAAAATTCTTTTACCAACGCAAGTCCTTTGACGATGTTAATACAGCATATCAGATGGTGCTTTGCGTGTCAAGCTTGAAATTCTTGAATTGAATGAGTTGTGGGATATATCTCCAATTACGATACCAACCAACGCCAGCGGCAAACCCAAGACGCCGAGCAATGCGACTAAAGACAAGAAATTCAGTGACTACCGTGCGGAACGCCCCTTCGCCGTCGTACATGTTAGACATTATGTGAACTTGGGACACCAGCAAGACGAAGCTTAGTAGCTCTCCTCAGACTGCTCCGAGCTGCTGCGTACCTTGCCGCCCGATGTGCGCTCGTAGGCTCGCGAGCTGCCCTTGCAGTGCTTGAGGATCCAGGGGTGTACCTCGACATCCTCAAGCGCAATGCGCTTCTCAGGGTCAAGCACGAGTAGTTTCTTGATGAGATCCCGCGCTTCTGAGCTGACGAAGCTCGGGACTGTGTACTCTCCCCTCGCAATCTTGCGCTGTGTCATGACTTGGGTGTCCTCGAAAGGCGCTTCACCGACTAGGAACTCGTACGTCAGGACGCCTAAACTCCATAGGTCAACCTTCTCGGAGTAGAAGTTGTCCTTGCCGCCACCGCGAAGCATCTCCGGGGGCAGGTAGTCGAGAGTTCCGCACATGGTGTTGCGGCGGTTGTTGGGCGCGTGTACCGACCAACCAAAGTCGGAAATCTTGATCTCGCCGTGGATGCCGACGAGGATGTTTTCGGGCTTGATATCGCGGTGCATGACGTGCTTCTTGTGGAGGTACTTGAGTGCTGCGGCCATCTGGGCTACATATTGTGCTGCCTTCCATTCGGGGAAGCGTTGCTCCTTGCGGAGGTGCTTGTATAATTCTCCTTTACCAGCGAATTCGAGGATGAGGAAGATGCGCTTTGCGTCGTGGAAGTGGCCAAAGAGCTTGAGGATATTGGGGTGCGTGAGATGTGATTGAATCTCAATCTCTCGTCGGACCTGCTTCTCGACTTTGCCTTGCTGGATCTCAGACTTGTGGAGCACCTTCAAGGCACACACGAAGCCTGATGAGCGCTCCTTGGCAAGGTAGACGCGACCAAACTTTCCCTTTCCGAGAGGCTTGCCAATGTCAAACATGCCCAGATGCCATTGTTTGGGTGTTGCAGGGTTTGAGGGAACGGTGTAGATGGCGGAGTCGGTGAGCGTGCGGCGATGTGATTGGTGCTGTTCTGAGGGTCGGCTGGAGCTTGCTGAGATGGTAACCTTGGCGATGTTTGCAGTCTTTGCATTTTGCGTTGCGAGCTTCTGTAGTGTCTGATGGGGCAGCTTCATGCGGTTCGCAGCTGATTGGGAGGACGATAGGCCAGCTACCGATACGGTTGTGGATGCGGAAGGCTTGGTGCTGTTAGAAAGCGCAACATTGAGAAGGCGAGTAGATACACACCTTCACCTTGTGGTAGGTCGATGTAGAAGTGACGTGCTCATCGTTCTCGTCGTGGATAGTGGTGCGCTCAAAGGCGGCTTCGAGGTTTGCGACGTCCGTCATGGTAGTATTCAGATGCAAGCTGGAACGACAGGAAGCAAGCAATAGGGCCACGAAAGACCACTGTTAGCTATATTATGCTATGGGATGGGTGACAGTTGGTGGGTGTGGATGTTTGCAGGGTTCGAGGACGGATGGCAGCTAGTTAACCCAGACAAACAAGTGGGTTTCGTGCGTTGTCAAGGAAACAGCCATCGGCCATCGGCGGTCGGAGCGTTGGTTCGCGCCCCACCACGCTGAAGCTCCCCGCCATCGCCATCGGATCCACCTGCAGGTGTCTGCGAACAATTTATACACACAGCATTCTATCAGGGTCTCGTCGCATAAGTTCCCAGCTATGGCTTCCCTCAATGGCGCGCCCGCCGACACCGTGGCACCCGGTGTCGCCGACACATCCATTACCAAGGAAGGCTTCAAGATCACCACGCGCAAGCTGCCCATCCTCAAGGCCGGCCCAATAGAGGACATGACCAAGAAGCTCGGGATCGCGCCGCCCGAGATGATATTCGGAGACAACATGATGCGGATAGAACACGCCCAGAGCGGCTGGTACATTGAGTTCAATGCCTTCGATGCGCTGGATCTGGTGGACAAGACGGGCGAGAAGATGTTCAAGGTCTCCTACTCGAAAGAGTGGCAGCAAAATAGGTGAGACCAAAGACGCAGCACGGAGAGAACCTGCAGCTAACTCGGATCAGACAGAAGCAGTTTGAGGACATCAAAGAAGTCGTTAAGCCGTTCGACTGGTCCTACAGCACAGATTACAAGGGCACCACACCACCAACGCCCACCTTCGAGCCGACCGAGACCCCGATACCACTCCACCTTCTCAAGCGTCCCGACCCGATACACTTCTTCGATGAGCTGGTACTCTACGAAGACGAGCTAGCGGACAATGGCATCGCCATGCTATCCTGCAAGATCCGCGTCATGCCACAGCGCTTACTCCTCCTTGTCCGCTTCTTTATGCGTCTAGATGATGTTGTATTCCGGATACGCGACACGCGCGTGTTTGTAGAATTTGGGGACAACGTGGTGCTGAGAGAGTACACGGCGAGGGAGGAGAAATATGAGGAAGTGCGGAAGAAGCTCGCAGGACGGAAGGAAGACGTGCTTGCGATAATGAGAGACCCTAACCGTTTGGCGGAACATATACCCATAGTGGAGCAGAAGATTGAGGGGTTGCAACTGAAGTGAGCAAGTGCGGCTCGACAGGACCCCGACTATCACTCATCAGCCCAAAATCAAAAGCACTAAAAGCGCGGAGGCATAACGGCGACTCATATCTGCGTCGACAATCTCAAGGTCAGTCTGACCGGTGCGTATGCTAAATAAGCCTTCGCTCATCGCCTGTTCAGTAATCACGCGAACAACCAGGAGGCAAGCAACTTATACCTGGAATCTGCCGTTTGACAGGCGTCAATCCCAGACGACCTCTACTTTCGTTCCAGAAGTCTCATCGAATACGCGCCAATAAGCTTAGCTGGAAACAAGATCCTGATTATCAAATCACTACCCAGTCTGCCCAAATATGCGGGTGCCATCAAGGCTGCATGTCGGCGGATAGTAAAGGAGGGTCTCACCGCTCTCGAACAAGATAGCGTTTACAATACAAACCCGATTATATAAACGGACAATATTGACTGAAAGCTGTCTGAACCCCAGAGCGCCGATACTAATGAGGCTTGCAGGAATATGCAACACTCATGGCTCATACAACAGCAACGGTCGTGTAGCACAGGACACTGACATACAGCAATGGTCAACGACGCTCTCTGTTCAATCTCGCGCTCGTGCACAATGCCAATTGTATTGTTACGCGCCTCATGGCCTTGCTCTCAATGCGCCCAGGCGAGCCACCAAGTACATTGATACCAGAACACATCCTTGATTATGGCAGAATTGAAACTCAATCGTTAGACTCTTTCCACGTTGGCCATGTGTCTCCGCTGGTCAATATAGATCATCGATTCCACCGTGCGCGAACGTTTAGGGCCCGTAGGGCGGTTCTTGCTGTATTGCTTCCCCTCAAAAAGCAATTAGGTTCTGTCGATACCGAGACAAGCAAGTGACACTGCGTTAGCGCTGCCTGACATAACCAAGGAGACGCGTCCGCCTGCCAACATCAAACGGAGATTACGTTCGTCCGAGATTCGCCTTGTTCAGGGTTCCGTTGTGCACCGCCCCATATTACGACCGGCGGAAAGTGGAAAGTTGACGGTCCTCAACAGACTGGAAATCACCGGCATTTGTACAACAGATAGCCGCTGCTCGGATGGTCCGGATGGCTGGAATGACGACAAGGGTTTGTACGATAGGATAACGGGTACCGAAGACGCGAGAGTGCATGGCAGGCGTAAGGAGGATCCCGAGCGATCTCTCGTCCGAAAGCAGTAAGCTGTCGATCGCGGACCAACATAAGCGTTTTCGACGGGCAGCCGCAATCTTGCTTTACGACCACCAGAATCACGCAAAGACTGCGCATCGAGCGCAGAAGCTGCCTCGTCACGACAACCACCGCATGTCTGCTTCCATTGAGGACGGTGATAGTGGGCGGATTTCTTGGCAACACCCTCATCCGTGGCCGTCCGGGCTGTGATGTCATATTCAACATTGAGAAAAGCAGTCTCGGCGCCCAGTGTTGTCGCACTAATTGCGGCCTCGAACAAATACGCATCGAGCATGCTGAACTTGGATCCGCTCACTTTGAGTCCGGCCCGCGTAGCGCACGCACGCCCCAATCATCTACTGCGGCGAAGGACGAATCTCAATCCACAGGCCCAGCCATCTCGTCCGAGGCCATGGCAGATGGTGCAAGACTAACCGCGGCCATGGGGAGATTCCGCTATCCGGGGTGCTATGACAACATAGGTCCAAACGTGGCTAACAATTGATATATGTTAGATAGTCGCAGGTGAGCACCAGCAATACATCATCGACGCCGACGTTACTCGCCATCACTTGCCGTTGAAAATCACCATGGCTGACCACCAGTCCCACGGCGAGACTTTCATGTCGAGTACGTCGCAGTCACATCAAACACATTTCAGCTCTTCCACCCAATCGGGGTCAGGAACCCAGACTCCTCCCCACGGCGTCACGCGAACTACTTCTGGTCGTCCGACCTACTTCCCAGATGGTCATGCTCACGGCACCCACGGAGTCTTCTCATCACACTCCTACACGCATGAATCATCGACCACACATGAAACATCGGCCGGCGCAGGCTTGTTTAACTCCACCGATGGCACTGAATCCCAGCACAGGCAAGAGGAAGTCGTGCCGCTCGAGAAAGTCAACACATCGAGCTCCTCGGATTCTTCAGACACGCGGTTAGGATCTAATGGACAAGCCCCCAAAGTCAAGCGAACCGGCACTTCATCCTCTTACGAAGATGCAGCCCCAGGCACTCTTCAACGCCGGGTCACGCGGGCTGAGATCGACGACGACGGCAGGCAGGAGTTGGCGCGCATCTTCACCTCACAGTCAAAAGTGACTCAGCAGATGAGCATTGCGCAGCCAAACGATCCCCGTGTGGACCCCTCCAACGAGGCTTTTGATCTCAGCAGGTTTTTGAACATGTTCCGGAACCAGCTGGAGGGCGAGGGCATCGAAATGAAGAAGGTCAACGTTGTGTACAAGAACCTGGACGTCTTTGGTTCGGGCAAGGCTCTGCAGCTTCAGAGCACTGTTTCAGACATGTTCATGGCACCCTTCCGAGCTAAGGAATTCTTTGGCAAGTCAGAACGCAAGCAGATTCTCCACAGCTTCGACGGTATCATACGAGCTGGCGAGCTGTGTGTTGTCCTTGGCCGTCCCGGCTCTGGTTGCTCCACGCTTCTCAAGGCTCTCACTGGAGAGCTTCATGGTTTGGACACGGATGACTCGGTCATCCACTACAACGGCATTCCCCAGGAGCGTATGCGCAAGGAGTTCAAGGGAGAGACAGTGTACAACCAGGAAGTCGACAAGCACTTTCCCCATCTGACTGTAGGCCAGACACTGGAGTTCGCCGCGGCTGTCAGGACACCATCGAACCGACCCGGCGGAGCGAACCGCGATGAGTTCGCTCAATTCATGGCAAAGGTCGTCATGGCCGTGCTCGGGCTGAGCCACACATACAACACCAAGGTCGGAAACGATTTCGTTCGTGGTGTGTCAGGTGGAGAGAGGAAGCGAGTCTCCGTAGCTGAGATGCTACTCGCCGGCGCTCCATTTGCGGCATGGGATAACTCGACACGAGGATTGGACTCAGCTACTGCGTTGAAGTTTGTCAAGGCTCTGAGGGTCGGTTCCGACTTGGCTGGAGGTGCTGCTGCGGTGGCTATCTACCAGGCTAGTCAAAGCGTGTACGACTGCTTTGACAAAGCTGCTGTTCTTTACGAAGGTCGCCAGATCTACTTCGGACCCGCCAATGAGGCCAAGGACTTCTTTGAGCGTCAAGGATGGTAAGAATTCCAATATGACGAGTCATCTAAAAACAACTAACGCACAACAGGTACTGCCCCCCTCGTCAAACCGCTGGAGACTTCCTCACAGCCGTTACCAACCCACAAGAAAGGCAAGCCAAAGAGGGCATGGAAAACAAGGTGCCTCGCACACCCGAAGACTTTGAGAAGTACTGGCGCGAGTCCCCTGAGTACCAGTCGCTTCTTGAGGAGATCAAGGACTTCGAAGCAGAGAACCCAGTCAACGAGCACGGCACTCTCGAGCAACTACGCCAGCAGAAGAACTACATCCAGGCTAAACACGCTCGTCCCAAGTCACCTTACCTCATCAGCGTCCCGATGCAGATCAAGCTCAACACTCGACGAGCGTATCAACGCATCTGGGGTGACATTGCATCTACTGCAACACAAGCTGGTCTCAATGTCGTCATCGCTCTCATCGTCGGTTCCATCTACTTCGGTCACTCTACAGGTTCCAGCTCGTTCCAAGGTCGCGGAGCAGTCATTTTCCTGGCCATTCTCTTCAACGCTCTTACGTCCATCGGTGAAATCGCA